GCTGGTGAGATGGCTCAGCGGGTAAATGTGCCCGGTGATGCCCGGAGTTCACTTCAGAGCCCGTGTGGTAGGAGGAGGAACCAACTCCAGCTGACCCCTGTGCTCCAGCCACGTTCATACATTCACACAGAATAGTCAGCAACAACAAAAGTAGCTTCCCAGATGCTCGAAAGTGGCCCTGTAGCGTAGTCCCCTGGTTATTTAGCATCTCTGTAGTGTTACAGGCTTTATAGCTGTATACCAGGCTGGGGAAAGGTGAAGGACTTATTTCATGTGAGGTCTTTGCTTTCTGTTTTAAAGTAAAGTCACTCTGCCAAAACCTTATTGGTCAAGGCTATCCATAGCTGTAAAGGGGCCTGGATATTTGAGCATTTGCTTGAGTGTGTGTGTGTGTGTGTGTGTGTGTGTGTGTGTTACACTGTGGTATGTGCGGGCAGATGTCAGAACAGGATGTCTTCCTTTATTGTTCAACACCTTACTGTCTTGAAGTGGGGTCTCCCAACCTCTTAGGCTAGGCTGGTTGGCCAGCAAGCTCTCTGGATGTGCTTGTCTCCGTCCTCTAGGGCTGCTGGGTTACAGGCATGTTCAGCCATACCTGGCTGTTTTTGTTTGTTTGTTTATTTGTTTTGGTGGAGGTGGCACAGTTTGAGACAGGGTTTCTCTGTGTAACAATCCTGACTGTCCTGGAACTCACTTTGTAGCTCAAGCTGGCCTTGAACTCAGAGATCTGCCTGCCTCTGTCTCCCAAGTGCTGGAATTTGTATGCCACCACTGCCCAGTTCATGCCTGGCCTTTAACATGGGTGCTGCAGATTCAAACTCGGCCTTCACACTTGGCGAGCAAGCCCTGGCTGAGCCATCTGCCCAGCTCCTGAATGAGCTGTCGTGTTTCATGTCCCTGCAGTTGAGATGGCTCATGTTAAGAGCGCTGGCTGCTCTTTCAGAGGGCCCAGGCACAGTTCCAGTCACCTACATAGTGGCTCACAACTGGTGTGACTTCAATTCCAGGGGATCCAACACTGTTTTGGCTTCTGTGAGCATCAGGCATGCCATGGTGCACAAACATACATACAAGCTAAACACCCACACACAATAATAGTAATACATTTTTCAAGTTATTTTTAAAATTTAAGGGTTACTGTGCTTGGGTAATGGACCAGAGACTATGCAGCTGAAAATTGGGTCACTGCCTGAGTTCAGGATTTGGGTCCTGCTGACCCACAAATGTTGTCTGGTATTTATGGGGGTTCTAGGAAGTCATCAGGTTTTCCCCAAATCAATTTAGACTGAACAAGTTCCTAGGACACTTTCTTATTTACACTGAGAAATAAAAACCATTACCAAGGCCATGAAGCGTGGCTAATCAAGACTTCCTCATCGGGAAATGAGGCTAGGCAGTGGGCTCACTGAGTAGACTGTCCCTCCCGGTGGATTGATGGAGCTTTGATGGGTCCCTGTGCTGTCGTACCACCATTTCTCAGGTGCGGTCTGTGGTGATGGTAGGCTGGCTTCCCGTCCACCGTGGCTGACCAGATCCAGGTTATGCTAACATTTTCACAGGGCCTTGATGGAATTTGGGTTGTAAAGTTTCTTGACCATCCACCAACCAACCAACTAGCATACTTTGAATAAGTATGAGTGCCAGGCCTTATTCTGGGCAAGCACGGGGACTTGGGCAGATAAGACAGTGTCCCTCTGGTGTTCAACCCTTTCTCAGCTGATCCTTGAGGTCACCTTTTCCTTCCTGTGTGCTACAAGCCTTGGCTCTCAAGCGTGTTAGGTGGATACTGGGGACCCTCTCTGTAATATAACCTTGTCCTGTCTGCCTGCTGCACTTTTTTCAGATCAGGAGCACCTGGATAAAGAAATAGAAAGACTCCGGAACCAACTGAAAGTGAAAGTCAACCGCCTCTTTGAGGCCCAAGGTATTGGCCTGCAGGGGTGGGAGCAGGGCAGGGGGAAACCATTGAAAGAACGATAGAGAGCAGGTGTGGAAAGCCTCTCAGCGGGGCAGTGGGGCAAGGGGGCTGTGGTTGTCTGCAGCTGCTCAGAGCTAGGACACGGAGGCTTGTGGGGCTTATCCTTTTCCAGGCACCAAGAGATGCCTGGGGTCATCTGGCATAGTGTGGGAACCTAGCATAGCTAGGACAGGAGAAACTCAGAAGGCTTCAGTCAGAAGTCAGAGCTTAAATTTGGGTAAACTTAAGCAAATCAGATTGCAGGTCTGTGTGCAGATCATGACTCTGCTGGTTCTCGGCCAGGAGCAGTGTTGACTTATGTCAGCCTGTGCACTGCAGAATCCGAGGCCAGCCCTGCACCTCTCGGGCCGAGTTGGCACTGTTAATGCAGTGTTAGCTACTTTCCTGGGCCTGGCTCCAGAGTCAGCAGTAGGTTGGGCAGCAGGGGCCCAATTTGATCATGACTATCTTCTCCTCACAGGAAAGCCGGAGCTGAAGGGCTTTAACCTGAACCCCCTCAACCAGGATGAGCTTAAAGCCCTCAAGGTCATTTTGAAAGGATGAGACTCAAAACAGCAGGATGGGGCACCCATGGCCAGGTTCCTGCAGCTTGAGACCCACAAGGACAGGATTGTCTCTTTAAGGGGTTGGCATCAGGAATGTGGCTTCTGTACCAAATCTTTTTCTGTACTGCATGGCTGCTTTGTGACAAGAGAGAACCCTTAGCCTGTTCTGTGTGCTTGGCCTGGCTGCCAGAGCTTGGTGGACACAAGACCTATTGACAGACCTGGCAGCCATCTGTAGGTGTGTGGGGGTGAGAATGTTGCAGCCGACACTTCCCAACAGTAGCCTGCTGTTTAGATGGGCGTGGCTGGGGTGGAGGGAGAGGGTGGACTGGGGGCTTCATTCCAGCTTTCTGCATGGAGAGGCATTTTCAGGCAGTGTGTGTGACGGTGGAATAAAGCAGGAGACTGACGGTTGGCTTCTGTGTGAAGCCCCACACCAGCTGCAGGGTAGACACATTTCCCCAGTGCTCTAGTCCTGTCCGTTTTCCTGCTGGCTTTCCATAGTAGGTGCTGTCAATCACTCTGTGTGGTTGCTCTGGAGATGGGAGACCTTAGAGAATACTGGCTCAGGGCAGGCAAGCCGTGTCCTTTCTAGTGGGACTCAACGTGGAGCATCCTTTGCGGCCTCTGACAGCAGGGCTTGGCCTGGTGGCCTGACTTCACAGGGTGAGTGTGGTGTGAGAGCGAAACTGGCCTCTGTTCCCTGAGGTTCAATAAACATTAACTGAGCAAACCACAGCTCTGAGTTGTCAGCTCCCTCAGTTCTTCATCGGGGACCCAGCCCTTTCATTAGAGGGCTACTTAAGAAAGGAGGTGGCTCTTGCCTTGAAGTGCATGAGATCAAGAGTAGACAGGTAGAGGCCACTGTCTTCCTCTGCTGCATTTTGGTCCATAGTTACATCAGGAACAAGCTGGTTTCTTGCAAGAGGAAGGGCTGGAGAGGTAGCTCTGGGTTAAGAGCACTCGCCATTCTTTCAGAAGACCAAGTTCAGTTCTCAGCGCCACATGGTGGCTTCAAACCATCCATAACTCCATGTCCAGGGGACTTGATACCTTCTAATTTCCACAGGTACATGTGCACACATGTACATTCAAGCAAAACGCTCAAATACTAGTCTTTAAAAGTCAGGTGTGGTGGCGCATACCTCTAATCCCAGCACTCAGAGCAGAGACAGGACAGCCAGAGGGGTACTGAGAGACCCTGTCTCAAAAAAAAACCTAAAAATTAGAATTAAACCAAACACTTTAAATATTGATGACGTCTTCGGGGAATATTGAAAAACCTATGTTGAACAAGAAAAATACCTATTGTAAGGCAAATTTGGCCCGTGTTTGCTGTATTGTTCTTTGGGTTTTATAGATGTTCCTGTGATAGACCCAGCCCAAGCTGCATGTCTGCGCTGGGGTCTATTTAAAAGACCACAGCTTCAGAGGGCAAGGTGCTGGCTTAGCCCAGGCTGATGGAGGTTCTTGAACCGTGAAGCGGGCCGAGCAAAGCAAGGGCTGAGCAGTGTGTGACCTACTGACTATAGATGCTGTGTAGTCCCCTCAGGACAAACTGCTGGGCCAAAGGGAGGGTGTTACTGTACCCACCGTTTGATGAGCTTTGAACTTTAGAATACAAACCCAGCAGAATTCACTTTGATGGCAGCCACCTGGTAGGTCGGCCTGGCACACAGTTTCTCTCCTGGAATATTGCTTCTGCCTGCCTGCCAGGGTGGATGCTAGGCCAAAGAGCCTGTCAGTCCTGTATTTTGGAACTGATAACCTAGAGCCCATGCCCGGGGCTGTGGGTTTGGGAAACCCCTGGGCTCTGGAAGCAGGACGTCCAGGGTGGCTCAGCTCCCAGCCTCCCAAGGCCAGTTGGTTCACTTCTTGCTTTGCTGATGTTTCTTTCCCAGACTTCCCTTCAGGCTCTAGGTATTCAGGTTTGCGTTTGTAGGTGAAAACACTGCCCAGAAGGTAGATAGAGTTACCTGACCCCTCCCTCCCCCAGTCCCCTTCTCCACGGAGCAAGTCTCCTCCCAGCTCAGGCTCACTGCTATCTAGACCAGGAGGAGGCTTCTGAGCAGAGCAAGCGCCTGACTCCTTGTGACCTTGCCCGTCAGCCTCCCTTTCCTAAATCACAAAGCCTCAAATGAGAGGTGGGATTTCCCAGAGCCCCAGGCTAAGCAGTGTTGCCTTCCCAGGTCTCTTTCCATCTGAGACACAGGAAGCTCTAGTTTTGTGGTTTTCACAGGGCCTGGTTCTTGTGAATGAGGGCATCGCAAAGGACAGGCTTGGCACCCTCCCAGGCTTCCAACGGGCAATCTAAAATCATTTACTTTGCAATCATAGCTTAAAGACAAGTTTCCTAGCCCAACGGACCCTTCACCGTAACCAAAGAGACATCAAAATGTCAGCGGCATCCAGAACCAGGCTCAGTGCTCAGTGCCTCAGTGCCTATGCTTTATTAGACATGCTCTCTGGGAGGCAGGACTTGCTGCTTGACCTCCTTGGGCCCAATCAACAATCTGTCAAGGATGAGCCCCCCCCCCCTGCAAGTCCCAAGGATTGACTGTCCCTGTTTCAGAGATGGGGGGCGGTGCTAAAGTGGGGAGTCTAGGGTGTCTGGTAGCAAGCAGAGGCTGCCTCTCCATTAAAATAGCTGCCAGGCTGGAGGGAGGTGAGAACAGGTATGCTGTGCCAAAGGAGTCCTGTTGTGAGAGGCCAGGACGGCACCTGCCAGGGCCTCCTTCCTGCCTGGGGTCAGCCAGGAGCTTTCTTCTGTACTTGAAGGGATCGGAACAACTGTCTCAGCTGCTCCTTCCGATCATTGACGCATCCTAGAAAGAACATGATGTGTTGATTGGGGTGGCCTGTATACCCACTAGCTGGTATGGGGAGGGGGCAGCAGGAATTTCATGGCCATGGGTGGCCCACTCCTGTGCTGGCCCAGATGGCTTGTTGAGCCCTCACAGGGATGGTGGGTAGCCAGGAGACTTAGGTTTTCAGTGACCCCAAGTTGCATGAGGAGCAGAAGTGAGAGTGGATCCCAGGTTATGTGGTGCCAGAGCCACATTCAACTGATCCTCTAGACTACATTGTTCTTGTCGATGAAAACACACAAAGCCTACAGCCAGGCACATTTATGATACTCATAAGTGCTGCTGGAATGACCTGACACCATGGCCACAAGAACTGACCTGGAGATGCCTGCTTCCCACTTAGAAACTCCAATTCCACGCTTGTCTCCCAGGCTGTCCCAGCTGTCAAGGCTTCAGCATCACACCCTGTGCATCCTTGACAAAGTGATCCAGGGAACCTGCTTTAACGCTTGGCTCACTCATTGTGCCAAATCTTTAGGTTCAGCTAAACCCTTACTTGGAGTTCTAGACTCGTCCTAGGTTTGTTTTTGTTTTGCTGATCCTTTCACCTACTATCCCCAAACACATTCCTATCTTGTCCTCCATCAGCCTTCTTCCCCTGCCTGCTCCTCAGCCAGCTCCCTCCATTTACCACCAAACACTCGACTAGAAATCAGAAAGTAATTTTAGAAACTTCTACAGATACGGTTCTCTACCTGCTCTGCCTATCTGAGCGCCTGCAAATCAACCACATCTTCATTCCCATAAGCATCTGCATTTTCCAAAGTCTGTGTCTGCTGTGGGAGTGACCATTTGTAACCAGAAGACAACATGAGCATTCAGGCAAGCTGCTGGATGTGGCAACGAGGAGTCACCCAGGCACCTCAAAACTAACACTCATGGTCCGAGACACCTCTCCCCCACCTTCAGGGTCTGTGAATATTAGGCAACCCCTCTACCACTTGACATAGGGTTTCACTAAGTTAGTCCGGCCTTGAACCCACTCTAGTGCAGGCAGATCATGAGCTTGTGATCTTCCGACCTCAGCTCCCTAGTGGCTGGGTTTACAAATATATGGCGCTAGGCCTGACTAGGTCAGCCCCTTTCTACTTAACTAGTAGTTGTATTTTGTTGTGTGCAGCCAAGCCCAATCCCGAATCACTCGAAACTCCTTAAAATATACAAAATTTCTCAGGGTTGGAGAGATGGCTCCATGTTTAAGAAAGAGCACCATTGCCCTTCCAGAGGACCTGGGTTCAATTCCCAGCACCCACTTGGCAGCTCACAACTGTCTGTAACTCCAGTTCTAGGGGATCCAACACTCTCTCTCTCTCTCTCTCTCACACACACACACACACACACATAGGCAAAACACCAGTGCACATTAAATAAATAAATAGATAAAGGAAGGAATAGCTAGGAGAAAACAAAAGTCCAACCAGAAAGTGCAACTGAGATGTTCAGGAAGCCAGAAACATGAAGGCAGATATGGCAGAGCCATGAACAAGTGTCTAAATAAATAAATAAATAATTCTCGTCATAAAAAAACAGAAACTCAGCACTCGGGAGGCAAAAACAGGTAGATTTCCGAATTCAAATCCAGCCCCATCTACATAGTAAGTTTCAGGCCATCCAGAACTACATAGTGAGACCCTGTCACAAAAAAATAAAATAGAAGCCATAAAAAAAATTTAAAAAAACATTATATAACAAAATTTTTAAAAATGAGAAACTTGGGAAAATATTTACTACTGTACATTTGCTGGATCAGGGTGGGACAGGCTGTGTCTTCGGCCATTAACACCATGTCTTGACAAGTAGAGAAAATTATAGGCAACCCAGAGAAAAACAGGAATAGGCTGGGCATAGCAACACATACATTTAATCCCAGCACTCTGGAGGCAGGGTCAGGTGGATTTCTGTTAGTTTGAGGCCAGCCTGGTCTATATATTGAGTTTTAGGCCATCAAAACTGCATAGTGAGATTCTGTTTCAAAAAAATTAAAGAAAACAGGTAACGGGACCAGGCATGGTAGCACATGCCTATAAGCCCAGTACTTTGTAGACTGGGGCAGGAGGATTAAAAAGGACTTCAAGACCAGCCTTAGCTCCATAGCGAATTCAAGGCCAGCTTGGCCTATATGTGGCTCAGTTGGTGGAGTGATTGCTGACATGCATGAGGTCCTGGGTTCAAGCCCTGGTAGCACGAAAACCTATGGCCCTGGCACTCAGGAGTAGAGACAGAAGGATCATAAATTCAGATTATTTTGGCTGCATGATGGGTTAAACAACAGCCTTGGCTACATGAGCACCTGTCTTAATCCCACCCCCAAACCCACACACACACAAAGTAAATTTCCTGTAAGAACTTGGTTCATGTTACTTCATGAAAGTAGTCTATCATTAAAAATAAAAAGGGAAATCATAAAAAGCCAGGACAGCTTACAAGAGAAGAAAGACAAAGTAAAAACTGAAGCCCCTTTGGAAATCAATGGAATTCACATAAAATAATGAATTCACTAAGGGGCGAAGACCTGGCTTGGCTTCCTTTCCTGTTAGTCCAGTGAGTCTGTCCCTTTGTCTCTACTTCCAGGGGTCTAGAAAGAAATTGTTTCAGTGGGTTTCATGGAGAGGATGTTCACCACAGTGTTATTTAGAAAAAAAAATGAAATTGTGCCTGATGCCCAGTGATAAGAAATCAGCTTGGTAAGCGCTGGCACACACTCGAGCTGAATTGTTCTGCAGCCTCGCACTGACCACTTTGTGACTCTTCCGGGACTAGGAGAGTCTAGAGGTAAGGATTGGGTTAGGGTTCATCTTCCAGGTTTAGGAGGGTCTAGAGTAAGGATTGGGGTTAGGGTTCATCTTCTGGGACTAGGAGAGTCTAGAGGTAAGGATTGGGTTAGGGTTCATCTTCCGGGACTAGGAGAGTCTAGAGGTAAGGATTGGGTTAGGGTTCATCTTCCAGGTTTAGGAGAGTCTAGAGGTAAGGATTGGGTGCTAGGGTTCAGGCTGGCCGTCACCATGACAACAGCCTTCTGCGGTGGGTGCAACCTTTGGAGACCATTTCCTCATCCGTGGGGTGGTCACAGAAGCGACCACATGGGATGTGGTAATGCACGTAATTGTTTAGCCTGGCCCTGGCTAACACATGCTGCCCGCAGGAGGGCCTTTGTATTCCTGAAAGGAGGGTGCCACGTGGAAAGCGGGACTCCGAATGCCAGTCTGGTGCCAGACTTATAAAAATATGAATATATGCATTTTTTTAAAACTGGAAGGAAACAACAGATTGTTAATGATGGTTATGTCTGGATGTGTTTTAAATTTTCCTTCTTTAGTTTTCAAATATTCTACAATGAGTGTGAATTTCTATAATTGGGAAATTCTCACATTTTATATCCTAACTTTATCACAGAGTTCCACAGTCTTTAACTTTTCTAATGATAATTTGTTCTGCACCTGAGTCTTGAAATCCCCTTCCTGATGGCTCAGGAATCTCTCTCCATCCTGGGCAGGGTCCTACCAGGAGTGTCCAACCTTTTAACACTGTAACCAGGCATTGTCATCTGCAAAGCTCACAGTTAAGAACTGTGCAAAAAATTACACACACTCGAAGAAAAATCTCATGCTTTTGAGTATACGGTTTTGTGTTAGGCCACAGTCATTGCTACCCTTGGCTGCATTTGGTTCATGGGGTCCCCGGATTGCAGGTTGGACACACTCCCTGTAAGACCCTACTCATCTGTATGTTATGGATGAAGAACAGAGAGGGCAAGCCGTTTGCCTGAGTCACACAGCTGCTATGCTGCAGATTGGATTTACGTGATCTCACTGCTGTGCCAAGCTGCCCCCAGTCCACCCACACTTCCTGTGATGTTTCTGTCCCACCCACTTTCTGTCTGGCTCAGCATACCTAAGTGTGTGTTGGTCACAAAGTTTCCCATTCCTGATAGGTCAGAAGGCCCCTCCTCTCTTCTAACAGGGCCATCATTCCACATGAGGTCGAAGCCCCCGACTCTCTTCTCCCTTCCTGTGAGTCTAGGGGTGCAGAGGGGGAAAGAACATGCAGTTGGTGAGACTTTGAGACAGGACCGGTCCCTCCCACCTGAGCCAGGTGCCCGGCAGCTCTTCAACAGGGCCACCCACACTTCCTCCAAGGCCCTGTTCACCGTTAATAATGTGCTCCTAATTTGTAGTTTCAGGTTTAAAATCTGTTCCCCTCCCAACCTAGGGATTCACCCACCCTTGACATGGCCCTGTATTCTTTCCACTGGAGACACAGTGTTAAGAGTGGTAATGAGCCTCTTGGTTGATACCATGAGCCAGGTACTTAACGCTGAATTATCATGGTGAGTTAATCTGACAGCCCCAAGGAGAGTTACGATGCTCTCCACACATGAGGAAGCTATGGCCTGTCGCAGGGTCCCACAGTGGGAAACTGAGTGAATCCAGCTATACGGAGTTCTTGCGCCTATGGACATCTCAGTTTCTCCCTCTATGAAGTAAGTATCTCAAGGATCTGAGTCCCCTCTGCCTTGACAGGGGACCATCAGCCATAGATAGCGTACAAATGACAAGACCCCACCTGGCCTCCATGTCCACCACATGCAGGGTGTCTTCCAGCAGGCAGGTCTTGAGTTCATAGTCCTCCTGGCTGCTGGCTGTCAGCGAAGGAGATGCGTTCACTTCTAGGAGCCACCTAGGGAGGGCAGAGGATAACTGTGGGGAAGGTATCAGAGATCCTGCCTGAAGGTTTCATGACATAATACAAACGAGTCTCTGAGTGTCCTACAGCTTAGAAAAGCATCCAAAAGATGGGCAAACACACCCAGGTGAGGATGGGAAATAGATCCACCCAAGATGCAAAGGTTTGGAACAGCTATAAATTCTATGGTTGCATGGAGAGGACACTCAACAAGATGATGGAGAAAAATCCCACAACAACCCATGTCTGGAAATGCTAAAACAATGGTTAAAGAGTTGGTTAAAGCTACCCCACGTGGGCAGAAAAGATACTCCTAGAAGCTGTAAGGTCACTGAATACAAATTCTAGTGCTACCGTGGGTTACCTCCCTGAGTGGTTGGCCAGGCGATTACACTGCTATTGTTGGATGCCAGGACTAGATGGTAAGACCCTATTGCTGACAACAGTGAACTCTTGTTGCAGGACATCGAGATGTCAGGCTGGGACTGGATGCTCCCCCCTTGCTGGCTAGCACTTGTGGGGCTGAAGGCACCGTGCAGGCTGGCAGAGGGGAGGTAACGGTTTTGCTCAGCTGTAAGTACAAACTGCTAGTACCGCCAGCATGCCAGATGTGCCCGCTGGCGCAGCAGTGGCCCACTTGGGCCACAACTGTTTTCCAGCTGGATCTAAGGCCTGTTCTGCAGGAGGGAGCTCATGTGTGATACCGCAGTCAAGACAAAACCCTGTAGCGGGGAGGGTATAGACCCTAGTGGGGAAGCTATTGCGGTTGTTCTGCTAAATGGACATTATGCCCATGAAATGCCTTCTAAATCTAGATGCTTCCACAGCCTGATTGTTCCTTCTTCGGCCCTGGCCTGGGAAACCTCTTTCTTCAGATGGCTGCAGCTACTGCAGAGACTCATGGGTACAAAGAAATAGCAATGATTACCGTGGCAATGCAGCTGAGTGCTCAGCCCTAAGAGAGAGAACGTGATCAGATCTCTCTTTCACTCCCCCTGAGGCTCAGGTAGAGGAGAAGGTAGAAAGAATGTAAGGCCGGAGCCATGGGAGGAGTGTGCTATGAAATGCTGGCCCCTGGCAGGGTGCGGCTGCTGCTGTCTCTGAGTCAGAGAGACTGATTTCCTACAGGAGACCCTCACAAGACTGGGCCCACTCACAGTCCTTGTGAAGGGTGACAAGGGCTCCCATGGCCTCCTGAGGTGGGGGCTCTCTCCCTCAGTGGTGTCCCTGTCTGCGAGCTCCTATTCTCTAGAAACTGCTTAGCCTTGCTCCTAAGAGTCAAGTCACCTCACTTCAACTCACTGGTTTCCCCAGCTAGACTTAGGTAGAATTGTTTTCTCTTTTTCCTGGTTTATCATGGCCTCTCTATCTGTGAATAGAAATAGACTCCTGCTGGAATGTCATGCACCATCAAATCTGCAAATACCTGGTAGAGGTCCCTCTAAAACCAGCACAGATTCGATCTCATTTATCCCTTTAACAGTCCCATATGGACAGATACTCTCATCAGCCCCGATTTACAGACTGGAAAACTGAGGCACAGTAAAAGGAAACATGTCCAAGTTTGCACATCTAAGAAGCAACAGAGCTGGGCTTCAAACCATGGTGTGTGCACTGGGACGTGCAGCCCATCACGGCCGCCCTGGCCTCTGGCTCTCTGGGCCACTCACTTACGGCTTGAGGTCCTGGTCGATGAGGATGTCATAGCCATACAGCTCGAAGCAGTGCTTGTCGCTGATGATCACCTTCTGCACACTCTGCAGGCTCCTGATGAAGATGTTGTCCATGTCCCTGAAGAGCCTCTCTACGGCCTCGGGACCGTGTTTGGAGGCCAGGTACTGTCGGAAGCGCTGGATCATCCATTTGCAGCCCTGAGCCCCAGGCAATCGGGGTGGGAGAAGAGCTCATCTGATCATCCCCGAATGAGACCCTGTGCAGGGCCCCTGCAGCCTGGCAGGAAGGCTGCATCTGAGCCCCGGGATTGGGGAGTTTGAGTGTGCCCCTCAAGATGGAGTGAAGGCCTACATAGCTAAGAGGATGGGATGTGTCTCTGGTCATCCAGATTATATGATGTGAGATGAACCAGGGGAGGAAAACCTGATTTTATAGTTGTACCGACTTTCAGGCTATCATATGGATTGGTGATAAATAGGTAGATGATAGATAGACAGACAGACAGACAGATAGACAGACAGACAGGGAGATAGATAGGTGATTGATAATCAGAATATCTTCTGTATGATCTACCAATTGATGGGTTGGTTGATCAACAAGAGATACCTAAGATATGAGGATAGAATACATTTTGTTTAGAGGTACATTAGTTTGACATTCGAACATTGAGGTTCATGCTAGGTGAACCCATCTCGCAGATGGGAAGGGCAATCCTGCCCTCTCTGATAAACTGTGGCCCGTCTTGGGCTCCATGTCACTCTGCTTGTCCCACCCACTTGGCCCAGAAGGAGGGCAGATGGCTAGCTTCCTCACCTTTTTGGGGTGGTAGTCAGGAGATGTCTTCTGCACAGCGACATTGGTGAGGTGAACATCTGGCAGAGGTTGACGGTCAAGGGCTAGCATGCACAGAGAGGTGGCTATATTCCCTGCTGCCCAGAGACTGCACTGAGACCCTGGACCTGGCTCAGAAGCTAACAAGAAAAGCTTTTTAAAAAAAAAAAGTGCAGAGTTTATATGCATGGGCTTTGGAGTCAGACTGGCCTGGGTGCGAGTCCTGGGTACATCTCAGGGGACGTGAATTCTTCAACAATCTGGGTAAACTCTCGGAGCCTGTTCACCAGCTGTGCTGGCTGATTTAATGTCAACTTGACACAAGCTCAATTTATCTGAAAGGAGGGAGCCACAATGGAAGAAATGCCTCCGTAAGATCCAGTTCTAGGGAATGTTCTTATTAGTGATTGATAGGGAGGACTCAGCCCATGGTCCTAGACTGAGCAAGTCAGTAAGCAGCACCCCTCCATGACTGCTGCATCAGCTCCTGCCTCCAGGTTCTATCCTGACTTCACTCAGTGAGGGATTACAATGTGGAAGGAAGTATGCCAAATAGGCCCTTTACTCCTCAGTTTGCTTTTGGTCATGGTGCTTCAGCACAGAAACCTAAGACACCAGCCCGTTGTCTGGGAGCAACACACACAACGGGCCTCCCAGGGTTGTTTGGGGGATTGGATGAAGAGCCTCTTGTGTGCTTGGCAGAGCTGAGAGGACGATGCTACGATTTCCAACACACAAGGCGACACCTAACAAGTACAGAAACCACCCCTTTGTAGGGATTCAGAGAAGGGACCCAGTGTTGGGGAGGAAGCAGGGTGCTGAGGAACCCTGGCCTGAGAGTCTGCCATGTGTGTTACCACCATCGTCACCTCTAGTATGACCCTGTGATTCACAAAACGCCATCTTGTTTGCCCCTGAACAATCTCTATATCAAGAGTGACACTTTAGAGGCCCAGAGAAGGACAATGCCCGCCATTCGAAAACCCTTCCTCAGCATTCTTCCCCTAGGACTATGGGGAAAGAAGCTATGAGTTCCAAGAAGAGCTAGGAGGGAGGAAAGGGAAGGGGCAAATGTCATAATTATATTACAAATTATAATATAATTATGTAATATAAAGATTGTAATATAATTATGACATTTCCCCTTCCCTTTCCTCCCTCCACACCCTCCCATAAATAAATCCTAGTGGTGGAGTATATTTTATATGTCTAACAATAAATGTAAATTTTATTATCTCTCTTGGGAATAAAAGTAGAGATGGGATTGTTAACAAATCAATCGCCCACATGGAACTTGTCTCATTCAGACATGTCCTTGTCAGAGCATTCTGACACCTCAGTACTTCAACATGTGATGTGGGATTCCCCTCTCTCTGTATGATATGAATATGTTTTTATTACCATTAGTAAAGAAGCTGCTTTGGCCTATGACGGGGCAGAATATAGCTAGGTGGAAAAACTAAACTAAATACAGGGAGAAAGAAGGCGGAGTCAAGCAGACACCTTGTAGCCACCCAGGAAGCAAGATGTGAGGTAACAAACCATAAGCCTCATGGTAAAATATTAAATAATAAAGATGGGTTAATTTAAGATGTAAGACTCAGTTAATAAGAAGCTGAGCTAATAGGCCAAAGAGTATGTAATAAAAATATTAAAACATATTCACAGCAAACAGAGGGGATTCCCACATCAGACATGATTGGTAGATACTGAACACCATGCAGACCAATTCCAACCCATCCCAGCACCCAGGCTAAGTTGTGCTGTATTTGTTTCTATGTGTGTGTGTGAATTATTGCGTGTATACTATATATTTTATATACCAAAATTAAGACTGTCATTTCTTGTTTTGTGATCCAAAAATTATTATTTTAAATGTTTAGGGTTGGAGGGATATCTCCGTCATAAAGAGCCTGCCTCCTAAGCATGATGCCCAGAAGCCATAGGGAAAAAATTCTGGGAATGGCCAGGCACATATGTTTAATCCCAGCACTCAGGAAGCACAGGCAAGTGAATCTCTGTGGTCTACAGGTTGAGTGGTAGGCCAGTCAGAGATATATGGTGAGGCTTTGTCTCAAAAACCAAGCAAGCAAGCAACTCTGGACATGGTAGCATGTGCTTGTACTCCCACCACTGATGGGGAGACAGGATCACTAGAGCCAACACGCCAGCCCAGCAGATCGTGTGAGCTCCAGGTCCCTAAGAGACCCTGAGAACAGGTGAACTCCAGGTCAGTGGGAGACCCTGAGAATCGGTGAGCTCCAGGTCCCTAAGAGACCCTGAGAATGAGTGAGTTCCAGGCCAGTTAGAGACTCTGAGAATGCGTGAGCTCCAGACTGGTGGGGGGACCCTGAGAATTAATGAACTCCAGGCCAGTGGGAGGCCCTGAAGCTCCTTCATAGTCTTCTTTGAAGTTTTCTGTATATTTTAATTTCAAAATAATTTTGTTTTGTTTTGGTTTGGTTTTGGTTTTTTGAGACAGGATTTCTCTGTAGCTTTGGAGCCTGTCCTGGAACTAGCTCTTGTAGACCAGGCCGGCCTCGAACTCACAAAGATCCACCTGCCTCTGCCCCTGAGTGCCAGCAAGAAGGGTGGAAAGTGCTGTGCTCTCGGGGTGAATATTTAGCAAGTGGAGCCAGGCCCCTGGGAAGGCTCTGCTTCTTCAGTATGTCCTCAGGAGCACAGCGCTTGCACCAGCACTCTGAAGTGGCATTTACTGAAGGGTCACTCAGACAGACAGTGCTCCGTGTGGTTTGCGTGTGTCACTTAATTTTAATAAAAATAAACAGCAATACAAACTAAGTTGATGGCATGCATGTGGCCCAGGCTTGTTGGGATTGTGGGGTAGAATGAACACACTGGAAGCAGAACAGCAAAACAAGGAAAAGAAGTCATAAAGCATGCGTGAGCATGCACAGGAAGGCCCAAGCGATGGGCAGGCCATTCAAATATATTACTTAAGGCACACACTTAAACTGAAAGCTGAACTCAGGGCAGAGAGAGGAGGCTGGCTCAAAGCCTGGGCTGGAGTCCTCCCCTCAGTAGGCTGCCCCGTGTTAGCCCCATTCCCCCCAGGAGCTCTGGATTGTTCCTCCATTCTCTTTTGAAGCTAGGGCCTAAAAATTCGAAAACAAAACACAACCTGCCTATTTGTTTTGTTATTGATGCTGTAGCCTAGGTTGGCCCCTACTCACTATATACTTAAGATGACCTTGAACATTTGAGCCTCCTGCTTCAGTGCTGGGATTACAGGCCTGAGTCATCACAGCCTTTACAGCCTGTTTGTTGGCTGTGGGACGAAGTCAGGGCTTTATGTATGCTAGAAAAGCACTCTGCTGAGTTACAGTTCAGTCCTGATTGTTTGTTCGTTTTTAAATACAGAGTCTCGCTTTATGACTTAGAGTAATCTCAGACTCAAAATCCTCCTGTCTCAACCTCCCACATACTGAGATTTCAGGCATGTGCCGCGCGCGTGTGTGTGTGCACGTGTGCATGTGCGCGTGTGCATGTGTGCAGATAATCTCCTTTCCCCTCATTTTTCCTTGCCAAGGCAGTTTCTGTGTCTAGATTTTCTTTCTTCCCTCCATTTCTTTCTTCTTTCTTTTTCTTTTTCCTTCCTTCCTTTCTTTTTTTTTTTAATGTCAGTACTGGGATTAAATCTATGGCCTTGCATATAAGGAAGGGCTCTACCACTGAGCCATACCGCCAGGACTGTTTCCAGTTTCCTGTCTGTCAATCAGAGATGCCTGTGCACAAACCAAGCAAACCACAGACATGGTTCAACCTGAATGGGAGTAAACATTTTGCTGTTCTAGTTTTTTCTTGGAGACTGTTTCCTATTGGTACCTAACGCCCGTTCCAGCGTCCTACTTAACAGTTGTGCAGTAGTCCACTGTGTAAGTGCACCACTGTCTGTCTTGTTGTCTCCTGGGTTTTGCTCTCCATCAAGGCTATGCCGTGCGCAGCCTTTAAGCCCATCCGTTCCCATGTGTGGGTGTATCTGTGGTACACACACCAAAGGGGCTCGCTCACAGGGTACGTGCATCGGATTTTTGGCAGCCATTTATCAGCTCATTCCTGATGGTTATAGCATTTTACACGCCCACCAGCCATACACACACACACACACACACACGCACACACACACATCCTCCTTCTGCCCTAGCTTTGCCAGGACAGTGATGTCTACTAATCAGATGGTGAAGAAGGAACTGTACTTAAATGAATGATTGATGTGAACACTGTGAAGATGCCAGAAGAAGGATGCAGAGGTTCTGCTAAGCTCAATCTGTCCGCTCCTGTGAGTACAGGTAAACCTGAGTGCTGGACACCCTGGAGATCACCATCCAGCAGAGACATTGAGGGGCCCTTCTCTGAGCAGACTGCTCTCCAGAGAGTCTGGGAACCCCAGAGAGAAAGAACCGAGCAGGTCTTGAATAGGGCTTCTCTCGTGCTCAGATCCCAGGGAACCTGGCAAGTATCCTTGGGGTGGAAAAGTTCCCTGGGGCCGGGGCTGGGGGCACTGGAGGAGGGGACTGGAAGGGATGTCTCTGGAAGGATACAATGGTCATCGATGCTATTCAGTGTGAAGCGGGTGTTGGAGAATCGGGCAAAGCCATCACGGTACAGCCAAGCCCGCAGAGGGATGTACTGGTGGGGATGAGGGAGAGAGAAAAGGGAAATGATGCTCAGAGTGTTTCCATGCCACCAAGTTTCTCACCTGTCTTCCTTCTACCTAGAAGGCCCTGCCTTCTCTCCATAGCAGCCTTCAATCATTCCCTCTACGCCCACCCTGTGACTCCCCCCTACCTTCCCTGGGGTGCAAAGGAAGCAAAATGATGGGTCTACCACCATGCATGACACCCCACCAGGACCTCAAGGTCCTGAAGGATAGGCTAAGCATGAGAAACTGAATTCTTTTTCCCAGCAGCATGTACATCATGAAGGTTTAAGCAGGTGCTGAATGGATAAATGAATGAATTATAAATGGGTGAAGGGAATACAGCAGGCTCTGGAGTTCAAGTGTCTGGGTTTGAATCCCAGTTTAGCTGTTTACCTGCTGTGTGACCGTAGGCAAGTCATTCAACCTCTCTGTGTCTGTTTTGGCTTTTACTTTACTGAGATGGGATCGTGCTATACAACTGGCCTGGAACTCACTATGGAGACCAAGCTGACCTTGAACTTGAGATCCTCCTACTTCTGCCTCCCAAGCACTCTTGGTTAACCTTTATGCATCCATTCTCTCTGTAAACTGAGGCTGATAACCACGGGCCTCACTGAGTTGTTACAGCGGAGTGAGCGGCACCTGCTGAGTGCTGGGGCCTGGTGCTCAGGTGATGCTCAGCACATGATTGCTATGGTTACCTGCTGAGCTGAGTGAGAGAGGTGGAGACTACAGCTCTAGACACGGACCGTTAGGACGTAACACTAGGGACATCCGCCTCAGGGGCCTCCCTCCATGTCCCTGGGCTCACAGGAGGCCCAGCCTGGGTGACTCACCGACATCACCAGAACATAGACTCGCAGGTCGAACTTGCGGCCTGTGGGAAGAACTGGTTTGTGTAGCAGATACTGACCGGCTGTCAGGCTGGGCTAGGCTGCAGATCATATCAGGGGATGGACAGACAGACGGGGATCTACCTGTTTGAGGCTCTAAGCACAGCTACACAGGGCACAGGGCGAGGTTGGGTAGGACAGTGTTGGAGCAAGGCTGGAGGCTTAGGGGCCCAGGAAGCCCCTATGAGAGGTAGAGACTCACTGACAGACACCCGGACAGGTGTTGGCCCAACCCAGGCTGGGGAGGACCTAGATACAGATGGGCAAAGGCCCATGGGAGAGGAAAGAAAGTGAGGCAAGTAGCAGAGGAGACAGGTGGCAGGGGCCAGGCCATGTGCAGATGAGGACAGTGATGCGGACAGGGCCACATCGCCATGCAGTCTGTGGGGTTTGTTCTATAAAACACAGGGAGCCGCTGGCTAGAGTGTTTCCTGCCACGGAGTTTCTCATCCGTCTTTCTTCTATCCAAAGACCCTGCCTCTCCATGGCAGCCGTCAATCATTCCCTCCAGTCCCACCTGTGCCTCCACCCTCTCCTTCCCTACGGGTGCAAAAAAAAAAAAAAAAAAAAAAGAAGTGTCTACCACCATATGTGACACTCCAGCAGGACCTCAAAGTCCTGAGGGATGGCTACGGTGCTGGCATGGAGTCTAAGGGACCAGGGCAGGGGAGCACCATGAGGCCAGTTCAGCCACCCAGGAGGAGACAAGCAGCTAGGACTGGGACCGCAGAGAGAGGGGTGGCCAGATGGCAGCTTTAGAACTGCGGGACTTGATGAAGAACAGCAGAAAGGGGGCTGGAGAGATGGCTCCAGGGCTAAGAGTGTGGACCTGAGTTCAGCACTCGGCACACACACCTCCTTTATCTCCAGCTTCAAGAGATCAGATACCCCTTGCCTCTGCAGGCACCTGTACTGCCTACACCTGCACATACCCCCACACAGACACAAGCACCTATACATTGTTAAAATAGTAAATACAAGTTAAAAACAAAGAAGAAAACAGTAGCAAGAAAGGACCAGACTCTGGCTTAGCAACAGGGGGAGGAGAAGCCGTGGCCCAGGTGGAGAAACTGCAGAGTGAGCCAGATTGGGGAGCAGTTCTAAACCTGAGGCACATTGATACGGAGTTGCTGGGAGAGTCCCAAGTGATTTGGGGTGCAAGGGCAAGGGCTTGGCTGGGGACAGAGAGCTGGAGTCGCTGGGGGAGGAAAAAAGAGAGAGACCCAGAGGCTGCCCTCCTCCAGGGGTCATTGCCAGGGGACAGGGAAGAGATTGGGGGGTGCCAAGTGGCATTAGTGGGGCTACAGTAATTCATATGGGAAAAGGTAATTCATATGGGAAAAGCCCAGGGCAGCTTTCCCATCAGCCTCTGTGCTAGGAATGGCCTCCCAGCAGCATTCTTCCTCCACGCCTGCTCATAGGCCATCCCTGAGGTGACCGGGTTTCCTGATTCCCTGTCACACACACTCTGTCCCCTTGCCCTGTTCTCCATAGCCCTGTGCGGCTGACCTTCAGGCTTGCTGCTGCCTACTCACAGAGCACAAACTCTCAGAGCACAGCCCAGGACAGTGGCTGGCAGCAAGGAGGCTCCTGGTAGGTGTTTCATTGGGTGAAAGCAGGAGTGAGTGAGCTGGCTTTCCACGGAGAATTTCCCTGACCCCCGTGGGAGTGGGAAAAGCATGCCAGGCTGGGGGAACTGCACAGGCCATAGGAGTGTACAGACAGGTCTCTGTCTCTGTCCCCTTCCAGGCCTGGTGACAGGCCAGGTCTTTGCTGACTTAGGTGTTGACTGGATGCTCAGAGGGCAGGGGACAGACATAACCCACCCACCTTACCTCCTATCAGATAGGGGTTTTCCACATAACGCTGAGCCACATAGTTCTCCACTGGTATCTCCTCTTTCTGGTCATCAGAACTCTTCGTGTCCTGGTTGTGACAGTGCTAATCAGTACCACACACTGAGAGTGCCCTGTGCACTGGGTGCCATGCTGGGCACTACCTGGGGGATCTGGTTGGGTCCTCACGTCAATCCTCTCAGGTAAGAACTAATGTAATTCCCGTTCTACAGATGCACACCAGAAGCACAGAGAGGTGAGGTGACATGTCTGGAGTCACACAACTGGCCAGAGGGCAGCAAGGATGTGGAGCCACATGCAGTCTGTGCACAGAGCCTGAGTTCCTCTTTAGACCTGGGCTGCCCACATATGGGTACTGACATTTACATTCATAGTGATAAAAAGCAAATCAAACTGCATGCTGTGACATGGGCAAAACCCGAAGCCAGTGTCTGCGTGAAATAAGGCAGCAACAAAGGATCCACTTCTCTGAGTCACCAGAATAGCCAATGCCTCAGAAAGCCGGGGGTGGAGGGGTGGGGTGGGGGGGAGGTCAGCATGGAAGGGGCGTGGTGGTATTTTGTTTGTGCTTTAACAAATAAAGCGGTGGCGCACACCTTTAATCCCAGCACTTGGGAGGCAGAGGCAGGCGGATCTCTGTGAGTTAGAGACCAGCCTGGTCTACAAGAGCTAGTTCCAGGACAGGCTCCAAAACCACAGAGAAACCCTGTCTCGAAAAACCAAAAAAAAAAAAAAAAAAAAAACAAAAACAAAACAAAACAAAAACAAATAAAGCTTGCCTGAAGATCAGAGAAGCAGAGCAGCAGCCACTAGTTCTTACCTCTACAAAATCCTCAGACTGAGTAGGGTATCCTACTCTACAAATCCTCGGACTGAACCCTAGACTCCTGTCTCCTCTCACCTTATATTCCTCTCTCCTCCCAGTCATATCCCTTCCTGTCTCTATCTTCCTGTTGCTGGATTAAAGGTGTGAGCTACCACTGCTTGGCTCTGTTTCTCTTACAGACTGATTCAATCTCGTGTAGCCCAGAGGAGCCTTGAACTCACAGAGATCCATCTGCCTCTGTCTCCTGAGTGCTGGGATTAAAGGTGTGCACCACTGCCTGGCTTCTATGACTGACAAGTGGCTCATCCCACACTCTGATCTTCAGGCAAGCTTTATTTGTTAAAGCACAAACAAAATATCACCACAAATGGGTAGAGTTTTGACTTGGGTTGGTGCAAATGCTCTGGCCATGGGGTTTCATGACAAGTGCAAGAGATGATTGCTTCCACTATTTCAGAAATGAACACCAAAAAATGGTCAAGGGGGGCTCAGTCGATAAACCACTGGGCACACAAGCATGGTAACCTGAGCTCAGATCCCCAACACCCTCTTAAAAGCAGGCATGTAAGCACTGGGGAGGCAGAGACAAGGGGCTCCCTAGGGCTCACTGGCCACTCAGTCTAGCTCAGTAGGTGAGCTTCGGATTCAGTGAGAAGCCCTGTCTCTGAGGTAAGGGGAATCATTGAGGAAGACTCTTAACCTCTGCCCCTCCCCCGACATGCATGCTAACGGGCAGAATGTTATTATATAGAACACACAGTGTGTTCTATACAGTTTAATCCATCAAGGGAGGGGTGCTGCTGGGGACAAAGGGGGCAATGTGCCTGATAAGCAGCTACCACTGGACCATGCCCTCTCGCTCCTTCGATTCTTGGAGGAAATGAAATGTCAAAACTTTAGCTCTTTGTTGAGTTTAGTGAGGATCATTTGCCTAGTGCATAAAGGGCTCTGGGTTCTGTCAGAGAGGTGGAGGGAAAAAGGTAGGGAGAGAAGGGGGAGGGAGGGACAGAGAGAGAGGGGGGGATGGAAAGAGGGAGGGATGGAAAGAGAGAGGGAGGGAGAGACAGAGAGAGGGGGGGGAATGGAAGGAGGGAGGGATGGAAAGAGAGAGGGAGGGAGGGAGGGAGGGACAGAGAGAGAGGAAGGGAGGGATGGAAAGAGAGAGAGGGAGGGACGGGGGTGAAGGGAAGAAGGAAGGGAGAGAAGGGGAGGGAGGGACAGAGAGAGAGAGAGAGAGAGAGAGAGAGAGAGAGGAAGGGAGGGATGGAAGGAGAGAGGGAGGGAGGGAGAGAGAGAGAGGGCAGGAGGGATGGAGGGAGAGAGGGAGAGTCAGTTCCCCTTTGGGAGCCCAGTGCTTACCCTGGGAGGAGAAATCACCCTGCCATGGCTGTAGAAGTTCCAGCACAGTGCTGCCTAGAGGCCACCAGAGCAAGCCTGTCCCTTTCTCTTCTTTCCCACCAGCTCAGGGGACAGCAACACTCACAGGTACAACTCTTCCTATCTCAGTGACCTCTTGAAGACCCAAGACCAAACCCCAGAATCACACACTCTCTGGGCTCACAGGCCTCCCACTGGTAAGCTGGACTAGGGTCTCCTGGCTATCAGGACATTGCCCCTTCCTGCCCAGCCATGACACCCACCTGGGCAGCCAGGGCTCTCCTTCCCAGCCCCGCCCCTCACCACTTCTACTCACATGGCTGCCTGAGGGGTTCACGTTGGCACGGTTAGGCTGCGCCTCCACAATGGTGAGCTTCTTCCCCACAGTGCCCTGACAGGTGTACGGGATACAATGGAGTGTATGGAATGAGAAAGGCATTGATTAAACGTGTGCAGACTCTGGGAGCTGAGCCCTCCTGCTGCCCACCCCCAGCACCGCCGCTGTCACCCCTAGGGTTGAAGAGACCCTGGTCGCATTTTTAAGAGCACAGCTAACTGGGATCCTTCTCATCAGCCCATTGGGTCCTCAGCAGGCCTTAGAAAGGGTAGGGAGAGGTCAGGATTTGAACCCAGAGCTGACGCTCTTGTGAGCAACCTTGGCAGGCAACCCCGTGAGTTCTGGGGGAAGGAAGGAGGGCGAGGCTTGGAAGAAGAAGAAGAAGGGGGCGGGGCTTACCTTCCTCCAGTCCATGATGTCCTTCAGTCTCCGGAAGAGAAAGATGCCCTTCCCCTGAGACCGGGCGACCTGATGGGGGGTGGGGAGTGGAGAAAGACAGAGTTCAGTCAGGGTCCCTCCCTCACCCCGATTCCCAGAGCCTTCCCCAGCTCATCTCTGGGTCCATCTTCCCGTGGGTGCCTGTCTCTGCCCAGAGGAATGGCCATTCAATCCCCATGGGCTGAAGGAAGAAAGTCAGCTGGGCTTTGCTACAAAGGCACACATTTGCATGAATAATGCAGAAGGACAGACAATTAAAAAACCATCTCGGCCAGTCCTGGAACATATCATCCAATGCTTTTTTTGGAAATCAATTTGCCTTCCTAATTAGGTTTTGCTTCGGCTAATACTGGAATCATTCTGTCTTTACTGCATCCTGCCATAGGTAATTCATGGCCCCCCAGAGGCGAGGGGGGAGGGGGAGTCAATAGCTTGTCATGTTCCTGCCTTCCGAAATGTTCACCTCCCTGGTCTTGCACAGGAACGGCGCCAGCATGCTCACTACCCTTTCCACACCCCACAGCTCATTGCTACTGCAGGACAGTTTTGTTAAGCAATCATTAAAAGGTATGTTGGCAAGTATGTAGGTGCGTGCATGCATACATGTGGTGTGTGTGTGTTTTGCAAAACCTGCCACACAATGACTGATCTAAATGACTTTCTGGAACCTTGATGAACGCTCCCGTGGCTCATTCTCAAGTCTTGGACTTTCATGGCTGCAAACCAGAACCATGTGGGTGCCGCTGCTGAATTCTGCTGCCAGCTTGAGGTATAGTCTGGCGCTGGAATTGAACCTAGGGCCTTGTACATGCTAGGCATGCACTCTACCAGCAAAACCACATGGCCAGACCTTCTAACTTTGACTTTATACCAGTGTGGCCACTCTCAGTCCTTATTCCCTAATCAGTCCTGCCCTGCCCCCAGAGACCAACCACATCATTATATACCATTCACTGGTACCATTGTAAAGCATCGTAGTTAGTAGGTGATCTTCCACAAAGGTTCTCCCACTTCATCCCACCCGACAGACTGCACTTGATCAACTCTTCCTAGGGCCTCTGCCCTTGACTGAGGTCTGAGTCCTCCTGGATGGTTCCAGGTTAATGCCATGTGATTGGCGTGGGCATCGGCCTTCAGGATGCCGGGGAGTCTGCTGTAGGGACTTGTGAGCAAGGACCAGGACCTTCATCTGGTGGCAGCTGGAGGTGTGATGAGGCCAAGGCAGGGCTGCAGGAACCATGTTGAGGTGCAAAGGAGCAGTTTGCCTGAATTAATGGTACTGTTGAGCTAGCCAATAAGCCATCCTTAGCTTAACTGTTCTCGTTAAATAAGACCATACAGGGTTTAGGAACTTCAATGAGAACATTTTTTTCTCATCTCTAGTTTTATTAAAACTAAAATCAAGCAGCTTTTTGCATTTCTTTCTGTGATGCTGGCGACACATCCTGGACATATTGGTCACACCTGTGGCTTTACCGTCAGAAGAAATCAGTCTCTTTATATCATGTAACAGCTGTTTCCTAGATGGCAAAGGCATATCTGTGTGTCTTACAACAGTAGGGATGGGACCTGCTGTTAGGCCCTTTAATATGCAATGAGGAGGAGAGAAGATGCTAAACAGTGTATGGGCTGCACCACCGCAGGAGAATAACCCCTGGTGCACCAGCTCTCTCTCACCATCCCAGTTGCAGTAGGAACTTCTCTCTCACTTTTTCCCCCTCCCTCTTTCTCTCCTTCCCTCCAGGTCTTTCTGCTCCACCTGCTTGGCCCTGCTCATTTTCTCCAAGAGGCACAACTCTGGTGTGTTGAGTCTTTGCCGACATCTGTTTCCTGGAGGGCCCAGACGAATGTGGTTTCCATAACCGTTTTTCAGCATAGCTGCTTTCTTTTGGAGTTTTCAAACTTTGTGCTTTGAAAACCCCCTATTCTTGATTGTGTTTTGTTTGGGGTTTGTGAGACAGTCTTGCTACATAGCCCTGGCTGACCTGGAATTCCCTGATAGACCAGGCTGGCTCCAACACACAATTCTGCCTCAGCCTCTTGAGTGCTGGGATTACAGACATGTGCCATCACCCCTGGCTGAAAAGCACTGTGCTGTCATGGGTATACGCTCCTCTCCAGCTTCATGACATTGGTCAGATTTCATATGTCAATTGTGCCTCAAATTAAAAGTGGCTTTAAATAAAGCACTATTCTGTGACTTGGTTGGCACATGTCCCCACATATGCATGGATAGATAGTTCAGGAGCCCCACACTCTTGCTCAAGCCCCTGGGAGATGTTTTAGCGTGGGGAACAGCTCGAGATGTTCAATATATCACATCCTGGGGCTTACAGTGACTTTATGGACACACAGACTGATGGACAGGCACAGTCCTGACCCCCACACTTGCTGGCTTGCACCCTGAGAGTGGCTAGAAGAGCCACAGTTGTCATGAGGTCCATGCCCTGCCCAGGCTCTCCATCCCAGCCACAGTGGCCCTGGGGTCCGTGCCCTGCCCAGGCCCTCCATCCCAGCCACAGTGGCCCTGGGGTCCGTGCCCTGCCCAGGCCCTCCATCCCAGCCACAGTGGCCCTGGGGTCCATGCCCTGCCCAGGCCCTCCATCCCAGCCACAGTGGCCCTGGGGTCCATGCCCTGCCCAGGCCCTCCATCCCAACCACAGTGGCCCTGGGGTCTGTGCCCTTCCCGGGCCTTCCATCCCAGCACAGGAGCTGGGATGCAAGGGCAGGTGGAGAAAAGTTGGATGTGTGTGGTTTCTTTTATACTATACTAAATTATGTTTGTTTTTGTTTCCCTTGTTTCGGGGCTGAGGGTTGAACCTAGGGCCTCAGGCAGTCTGGGCAAGCACTTCACCACTGAGCTGTGTCCTCAGCCCTTAGACTGGACTTTCCATGGCCAAACCCAAAGACCTACTTATTTGTTTGCTTGATCTTTTTAATTTTTTTTCATTTGTATGTGTACATTTATGTGTTGGAGCACACACAGCTGTGTGGTCTGGGTACCAGTTATGTGCATGTGTGTAGAAGCCAGAGGTCAGCCTCAGATGTCACTCCACAGAAGCTGCTCACCTTAGTTCTTCATTTTGAGACAGGGTCTCTCTGTGGAGCTCAGCTGTCCTAGAAGTATGTAGACCATGCTAGCTTCAGAGTCACAGCGATCCCTTGTCTCTGCCCCCCGAGTTTAATGGCCATTAAACGCCCATTAAATGTCATTACGCCCAGTTTATCCAACTGTCCCTGCTTCCTGAGTGCTGGGATTAAAGGCACAGGCCATTATGCCCAGTTTATCCGCTTTACTTTTGAGGCAGGAGTTTTCACTGGCATCTGGGGCTCAGTGCTTCAGCCAGGCTGACTGGCCGGTGAGCCCCAGGGATCCTCCGTCTCTAACTCCTCAGTGTTGGTGGCACAACCACCATATCTGGGGTTCACATGAGTGCCAAGGCTAAAACTCTGTAGCCAAATCAACTTGGAATTCCTGATTCCCCTGCCTCTACCTCCCTAGGGCTGGGATTGCAAGCCTGCACTACCAAGCCCCAGTCTAAAGGCCTGTTTTTATTATGCCTAAGAGAGTAAAGCTGGGAGTGGATGGCCCCAGAGCCCCAAGAGTCTACAGACCAGTGTTGTGGTGGGGGTGGGGCATTGCCAAAGCCCCCTTCTATTTTCTGTGCCTAAGAGGATGGCTAAGAAGAGGGTGAGGGGAGAGTGGCAGGGCATAGCCTTCTGTGGGGAAGAAGTAGCCCTTTAGCCCAGGTGCCTGGAGGGGGTGTGCTTGGGCAAGGTAGTACAGAGGAAAACACACTAATCCACAACGTTCCCCAGGAAGGTGGCCCCTGAACGGGCTGGTGAGGCCCTGTGGTGGCAGCAGGATGAGGAGGATGAGCAGAACCAGACAGGCAGCCCCAGCTGCGTCGGGCGGGACCTTCTGCTAATTGGGAACCAGCAACTGCATATTAAGTCGCTTCCTCTCCCAGCCCACTGTCTTTGTTAGCGGCAATACCTTGCCGTGACAGCTGTGGGTAGGGCTGTGCGTGCGTCCCCCGTGGTGGAGGCGAGGCGTGCTGGCTGGGGACTGAGAACAGGTGCTGCTGCTACTCAGCTGGGCCTGGGGCTCATTTCCTTTCTCTTTTTGGAGATATGGTCTCACTGTATGGCCAAGCTGTCCTGGAGCTCACTGTGCAGCTTAGGTGGGCCTTCAACTTGTTAACACTCCTCCTGCCTTGCCTCATTAGAGCCTGGATTTTTAATTCTGTATCTGCCATCTGAGAGCTGTGTGAGCGGAGCTAAGGCCCACTGGGTTACCTACTGCTTCGTCTGTACGCTGGGGCAGTGCCTACCTAGGACTGTCACAGGACAGTTTCCCTGAAGCTGTGCATGTTGGACACAAAGCACACGTTAGACGAAAGGCTTGGAGTTAGATGTACAACAGTGGCCATTTCTCCTAGCATTTCCAAGATAGGAAACGGGCCCAGGAAGCTCGGGTCAGTGTCACAAACCTGTGTGGCTGAGAGTCGTGCTACGCACCTTTAATCCCAGTACTCAGGAGTCAGAAGCAGGGGCATCTCTGAGTCTGAGGCCAGCCTGGTCTACATAACGAGTTCCAGGATAGTCAGGACAAAATAAGCAAACTTGAGTGTGCACACGTCTTACCCAGGAGCGGGTTTGAAGGCAGAAACACTGGGCAGACGGGTGAGCCTAAGCGCTGGTCTGATTCACATAGAGGGACTTGCTCTTGCTGCTGGTCTTAGGTGACACTGAGTGGCAAAATTAGAAGGCAGGGCCTGGAGAGATGGCTCAACAGTTAAGAGCACTTGCTGCTCTTACAGAGGACCCAGGTTCAATTCCCAGCACTCACATGGCAGTTCAAAACTGTCTGTAACTCCAGTTCCAAAGGCTCCAATGTCTTCAGACCTCTGTGGGCATTGCACACAAGTGGTGCAGGCACAACATGCATATACATGAAATAAAAGTAAATCTAAAACATTTCCTTAAAAATAAAAGAGTAATAGGCAGTGGTTCCCAAACATACTGCAGCAGAACCAGGTATAGGACTCCCCAAGTGTCTGGTCCAGGAGGCCTGAGAGGCCAGAAAGGGTGCTCTCCTGCCACGTCCCAGGGTTTTCAACTGGAACAGAAGCCACAGGGTGTGGGTGTGGAGGGAATGCCCCACACCAGGCTCTCCAGTCTGGGAGCTTAGACAGGATACCCACGATGGAATAGTTCCGGGACAGAGTAGCTTCTTTTCCATGGAACCTCAAAGAGACAGGAGGACCCCAGACCCCGCCCCGCCCCGCCTCCATTCTCCCTGCAGAGGCACTCACTGGCTTCATGATCCAGGTGATTCCAGGGTTCTTGCGGAACTCCTCCACAAACAGATGGTACTCGCAGGGCATCTCAAAGGTTTTGGGGAAGAAGTCGCACTTGGCTGCCTCCACCTTCCCCGCCTCGCGCTCCAGCTGCTTCCGGAAGCGCTTGAGGTTCTTCACCATGTAGTTCTTCCTGGTAAGCTGAGCAGCAGGGGACAGGGCAGATGTGAGCCTCCTGCTCCCTGCCTTGCCCACGTCTTTTTAGAAACAATATTTCATTACCTTTATTTATGGGGGGCAGCTAAAACGAGAGAAAGAGGACGTGATGACCCCCTTTCTGAGCTTTTCCCTCAGCAGTCAGTTTCCGTTTCCCCAGAAACAGGACATTTTCCTTCACCGGCAGTAAGTTTCTTTCCGCCATGTACCAGAGTGAAAAGAGTGTTGGGGATCACTCTGACCCCAGCCAGCTAACAATTGCTTCTCTAACCATGCATCAAGACAAGGTCCCTATTAATGGTTGCTTCCCTACTTGTGCATCAGGGCTGGGGTTTCTGTTACAACCACTTCTGTGTTTATGGACAGAAACAACGACTCAAACCCTACAACAGAAGGGACACACAGACACCTTAAGATCAATAGAAGGACTGACATAGTGGCCCACACCTTTAGTCTCAGAGGCAGATGGATCTCTGTGAGTTCGAGACCAGCCAGGTCTACATAGCGAGTTCCAGGACAGCTGGGGCTACATAGAGAAATCCTGTCTCAAAAACAAACAAAAGATCAATAGAAGAGTAGGGAGAGTTACCAAGATGTGGGTACCTGAACCCTAGAAAAAAAACCCAGGCTCCCTTATAGTCGATACCCAGCTCAGGACCCCTCTCTGTCTAGAGAGCTCTGACATTTGTCAATAAGCTTCACTTTTGTTTTGAGCCCTTTTCCAGTATAGTGATCATTTAACTGATAGAACCCACCAGTATCAGAGGTCAGAGAGCAACCTCTGGGAGTCAGTCACTGAATTCGGGTCCTCAGGCTTGGCCACAAAAGGCTTTATCTCCTGTATCCTGCCCATCTCTCGATCCCAGCCTCCACTCTCAGCCCCTCAGAGTAGCAGCAACAATCAAAGGACCCCAACAGACAGACAGCCTGCTGGTCTAGCACCGTTCTCACATCTCAGGCCTGGAAACTGAGGCTCACCTCATAGTGGTTCCGGAAGTGGCTGATCCGCACGTGCTCATCCATGTAGGTGTGGTCAAAGTTCTCACGCAGCCAGCTGACATCACACCAGAAGAAATCCCACTCACCTTCGCTGCAGTGCGAAGACACAGGTCAGGCCTGGGGTCTCACAGCACATGAGTGGGTGGAGGGGGGAGTGCTGGCCACAGGGACTGGCTTTCCTGAGGCACCAGCAGACGAAGCCACCCTGTGTCCAGAGTGCCTTATATAACTTCTCAATAGACTGGTCGGTCACACCTGCTCCATCCCAACCATTTCCGAAGATGCAGGGACACCCTGCACCCCAAAGGTCCATCCATCGGGCACTCACTGCTGCCTCTTCAGGCTGTGTTATAGGGTGGTAGAAGAATCATCCACCCTCTCTGCCCCTGCCCTTACTTTGGATGTTGATTGTCCCCAAAGGCTGGAGTGTTAAAAAGCCTGTGGCAATAATGGGAGGTGGAGGAGTCCTTTAGGGACAGGTCCAGAAGAAGGATATTAATTTACTGAGGAACATGCTCCTGACTAGCTATTGACTTCTGGCTTCAGGCTTTGCTTCCTGGCTACCATGAATTCCCACCATGCTGTTCTGCCTTGCTATAGGCCTAAGAGGAAAGGTCCAACTGATTGATCATGGGCCAAGACCTCCAGAAACAAATAAATCTTTTTTTTAGAGGGGGTGTTTCTCTATGTAGAGATGACTGGCTTTGAACTCACAAAGATCCTCTTGCTTCCACCTCCCTAGTGCTGGGATTAAAGGTGTGCACCACTACTCCTATCATCCCTTCCCATTCTGGCATAATTTCCAGTTAAGGTAATTGTCTTGAAGATATTTTGGAAACTATGGAAACCTAACTAAATGCCCTCCAGCCCTGCTTTTTTTTCCCTATTAAAGCCAAGTAGGCCGAGTTTTGAAAACTACCTTGAGAGAAACAAAGCTGTGAGGAGGTGGCTTCGTAGAGTGAGGAGCAGAGCCAGTCCTGACCTTGACCAAGTCAGGAAGAGCACCCTGGTCTATTGCATTCCCAAAGGCCTGCACTGTCTCTTTCATCTACAGGCTACAAGGGCAGGGAGAAGCCATAAGAGCCTTCTTTGGCAGATGGCACAATGAGTTCTCAATGTGTGAGCAAAAATGACCAGAGCTGACTGCTGACACACAGTGAACTTGACATGGGAGTTTCCGGGCTGACGTCCCAGCATCACAAGGACAAACCACTCTGGTGTGGCTATGGTGAACCCTGACCTGCATGTAGGAGCTGCCAGCCAAATGTCCGAGTAGCTGAGTGCTGAGGTTTCTGTAGAACAAGGGGAACAGTGGCCGACAAGTTCCGTTGGGTGTGTCACAGTTTCCAGCAGCGAAGGAGATTGCTTATAATTCCTCTCAGCTGTGGGATGGGCACCTCTCCTGGATCCCAATCCTGCATAGGAACTCAGCCTTCAGGAGCGCAGGGGTAGGGGTGGAAGTCTTCTGTCTCTTGTAAGGGACACTGTGTGGGAATGTCTCTGAGGGCCCCAAATTTCCAACAAGCTCCAAATGACTTTTTAAAGGTTTAATAGCCACGTTCTTGTTCTTAATTGAATGTTAAGTAAGAAAATAACATACTGAGGCAAGCTGGTAATCACTGTCCCCCGATGCAAAGGGCTGGCACAACTCCAGGGAAAGCCCAAAGAAGTCACGTGGGCTCGGATACGGCTGGCCTGGGTGGCCTGGGGCTGAGGTGGCACTGTCGGGAGCTACCGTCTCCACCGGGTCAGGGAAGCACACAGGGAGGGCCAGCAGGATGGAGGAAGTAACGGGGAGGCAGGAGGATTAGGAGTTCAAGGCCATCCTCAGCTACTTGGTGAGGCTCAGGATGGCCTGGGCTTATAAGGAAAAACAAGAGGGGGTGGAATTGGTTTTTGTTGTTTTTGTTTTGAGACAGAGTCTCACTGTGTAGACCAGGCTGGCCTTGAACTCACAGAGCCTAGCTGACATTTTTTTTCCCTTAAGGTTTATTTTCGGATAGGTGAAATTACCTTCCAATAAAAAGGGGAGAGATAAGGAAGGGGCTAGCAAAAAGGTAACCAGTAGATCTTTCAAAGTGGGCTGTCACTCTCATGGCTGCCTTGAGATCTGGGAAGGCTCTGGAAAGTTTGTTCTAGAGCTGTCTCTTGGGGTTGTGTTCACTAGAAAATAGCAGTGGGCTTCAGAAACACGAGGGTATGAATGAGCAAAGTGGCCAGCACCTCATCACTCCCAGCATCCTCCGGGGTCTGTGTGAATGAAGCATCATCCATTTGCTCACCTGTGTGTGTGGAGACTGTCTTTTGGGTGCCAGGGAGAGGCAGTGGTGGGCAGGTAGGGAGGGACATTGACAAAGCACCTGGCCAGATGTTGCCAGCACCCCAGTAAGCTTGATCAGCAACAGTCAAGATAGAAATCGCTGCACAGTGAGGAACTGTGAACTCTGTTTTGGGAGAAGCAGTCATGAGGTGGGGCAGCTGAAGGACCCTTTGAAAGTGACACTTCAGCTAAGATCTAAAGCATAAAGAAGGCAGTGGCTGTAGCTGAACGGAGCCTGGGGCAGGAAAAGGTGTGTTCAAGGACATGAAGTGAAGTCCCGGTGGAAGCAAAATTGTCAGAGCTGAATTCGAAGAGCTGGCCAAGACCCAAGAGAGCAAAGGCTCGAAGAGCAGTGTGGACCGGAATCCATCCCGGACGGAGACTGCAAGTTCCTTCGTGTGCATTCCTTCTTCATGCTCACGCACTGGGCCGCTCTTCAATTGTGGAAGAAGATATTAAATGGCCAGCGAAGGTCAGGGATCCTTCTAGCTTCCCATTCTGTCATCCTTCAAGTCCCCTGATGCCTGTCTGGCTCCCAGAGTGGCTGTTGCCATTTCAGGTTTCACGTCCTCTTCCTCAGCAGGAAGCGAAGGAAGGGACATGACTGGACATATCTGCTCTAAATCTGAACAGACAGGCTGATTCTGACAGAGACCTAATTTTGTTTGTAACTCCGCAAGGGCTTGGGTTCACAGAGGATGAAGAGATTCAGAGGCCCTGGCCGGTGGGCTCTTCCTGACTGTGCAGCTCCTGAAGCAGCCAGTCTAGGGTCAGCCGTTGAGGGTGACTCCCACAGTGTTAGCTTCAGATCTCCGGCCACTTGACCAGAGAAGAGGCTGGGAGAGAGAGGGAGGGACCCAAGGACATATAGCAAATGGGGACAGTGCCCTTTTCTCTGAACCACCTTCCAGCCCCTTTATTCCCCCCTCCAGCTTGTCCCCTAACTCCCTGGCTCATCCTACAATACCACAGTGCCCCTGGTTCCAGGGAAGGAAAGGCCATTCTGTCCCCAGGATGAGTATGGGATGGTCAAGGCACACTCAGGGCAGCTGCTGTAGGAGCCAGCCATGATAAGCTAACAGACCACCCAAAGGAAGTGCTTTACTTCCAACCATTATCACCTATAAAGAGTAGGACTCAGCGTGAGTCTCAGTAATTTACTCTGAAGCAATACCTGATTGCAAAAAGAACCACAAACTGAAATTACCCGAGCACCACTCAGAAACAGACCATCCAAAAGAAATGCCTAACGTTCCAACCATTATAGATAGGATCACCTGCCAGCACATTCGCCAGGACACCCCTAGACAAATGTCAGCCAATCAGGGGTCTTGAACCTCAGAAACCCCTCACTCCCACATTTACTACTACCAAGGAGCTACTGAGAGGAAGACAAAAGGAACCCAGGGCCTGAGAGACCAGGGAAGATAGGCTGAGTGGAGGGAAGAGAGGACATCTTACTCTTTCACTTCTACCCATCCGGGCCTGTGGCGCAGAACGTCCATGAGAGTGTTCATGAGTGTGGTCTTGAAGCGGATTAACGTTCTTGGCTCTCTGCAACAAAGACAGCAAAAAACATGCTCAGGACTGTGACTTTCCTAGGATTCCCCCAAGGATTGGGACAAAGGGGAGGGAAAAAAGCCATGTTCTACCTGCAGCTGCCACAACCAGACTCTTACCAGAGCCTGTGCTGCAGCTCAGACTCAGAACCACAACCTGTCAACACTCAGACTAGCCAAACTGAACTCTGAGCATCTCTGAGCTTTGAAAAACAGGAAGCTACGCATATGGTGCCAGCCTGTAGTCCAAGAGGCTGAGGCTGAGAATTCAAGGCCACCTCGATTTCAGTGCAAACCTATAATCCAAGAGGCTTAGGCCAAGAGTTCAAAGCCACCTCGATTTCAGTGCAAGCCTGTATTCAGGAGGCTGAGGCCACAAGTTCAAGGCCACTTTGGTTTCACAGTGAGTTCCAGGACAGCCTGGAGCACAAAGTGAGAGTTTATATCAAAATAACAGTAGCAATAATAATAATGGCTAGAAAGGCTGGGCGGTGGTGGCTCACGCCTTTAATCCCAGCACTCGGGAGGCAGAGGCAGGCGGATCTCTGTGAGTTCGAGACCAGCCTGGTCTACAGAGTTAGTTCCAGGACAGGCTCCAAAGCCACAGAGAAACCCTGTCTCCAAAAACCAAAAAAAAAAAAAAAAAAAAAAAAAAAAAAAAAAAATAATGGCTAGAAAGATGGCTCGTGATTAAAGCACTGGGTTCTTTTCCAGAGGAGCCAGGTTCTACTCCCAGCACACACATGGCAGCTTACAACCATCTATATCTCCATTCCCAGGGGATCCCAGGGCCTTCTCTGACCTCTGCGGGTGCCAGGCATGTGCAGGGTACACAAATATGCATGCAGACATAATACCCATGCACATAAAATAAATAATAAAAATAGTAAGTCAGGCATGGTGGCTCACGCTTGTGATCTATCTTAGTACTTGGGAGGTAGAGGCAGAAGGATCAGTTGAAGGTCATCTTTGGCTAAATAGGCTGATGCCAGCATAGGCTACATGAGATCTTTTTTAAAAAAAATAAAAATAAGCCGGGCGGTGGTGGCGCATGCCTTTAATCCCAGCACTTGGGAGGCAGAGGCAGGCGGATCTCTGGGAGTTCGAGGCCAGCCTGGTCTACAAGAGCTAGTTCCGGGACGGGCATCAAAGCTACAGAGAAACCCTGTCTCAAAAAACCAAAATAATAATAATAATAATAAAAATAAAATAAAAAATAAATAAAAATAAAATAATAAAACAAAAACCAAACATTTTTCAAGTCCCTACTCTGTGCTAGGCAAGGTATGGCTGCCTTGCAAGTGCTGTGACTAATTCTTATATCACATGGTAAGTGTTTGCAGATCCCTTTCCCAGGCTTTCAGCTGGGGAGATGGAGCAGATGTACTTTTCCCTATTCCTCTTACTAATGCAACTAAAAACCCAAAACGTATAAAACAAATGTAAGAAGACGAATGGTACACTAGGAGGCCAGTTAGGGACCTCGGAGCAAAGGGTTGGCGCTAGGGACTTCCCCAGCTTCCTTTATGCCTCTCTGTGCTCCAGAGGTGGGGATGGAAAAGCCAGCCAATAGGCATTCAGAAATGCTAATGACCATCGACCCTAAACGACCTTTAAAAGGAGCCTGCTCTCTCCAGCTTAGGGAAGCCCAAAACCGGACAGCCTTCCACAGCAGAATGCATAATGACAGCTCCACTCTAGTGAAAGACCAAGAGGACGCCTGTTGTCTACCTCCGCGGGGCCAGCAGAGGTCAAGTGGGGCGTCCTCCCTTCTCAAGAGGCTGCGTACTTGGACTCCAACACTGGCTCTGTCACTGGATGGTGCAGAGGAGGAGGAATACAAGGCTGAGGCATTCATCTGCTCAGGCAGTGAAGAGTCCCCATTGTCCCCTATCAAAGGAGGCCAAGGGTTGGGGGAGCCTGAGCTTCAACCCCATGCAGGTGTGAGATTGCCCCTCCAACTCTGGGCTGATGTTAAAGGGCACAATTACCAATCAATACCACTGAAAACAGTGTACTGAGTCAATAAAACGAAAGTTCTTGAAAGAGCAATAAAGTTGACCGATCTATCAGCAAGGCTGATCAAGAGCAGATACTACTGGTGGGATGAAATGGAGGTGGGGCTACCTCCGACCCTGCAGAGGCCAAGCCCACAGTGAGAGAGTGTGCTAGTCCTCTGCACAGCGACACACATGGCAGCTGAGATGACATAGTCCTTGAAAATTCCAGATCACCACAGCTCTCCCGGTGTGGCACACATATCAGTAGCTGTATCCTAGAGAAATTGAATCCACTGTGTGAAAACACCCCCAAAAGATGTCCCTGGGCCCAGGGGGTTTCCCTGGAGAACAGATTCCCTGAGACATCAAAGCAGCCTCTGTTCTGCACTGTCTTCCAGAAGGAAGAGGGGAGAGGGCCTCCAGACCATCCAGTGTAACCTGAGAGTGAAATTAGACCCAGACAGTTAACAAACAAAGCTACAAGCAAGGGGCTGGGGAGCTAGCCACAGAGCGCTTGCTTAGAATGTGGAGACTCTGGGTTACATTTCCATCACCACACAAATAGGCATACATATGTATGTTCATAAACATACACAGGCAAAGGAAATTCAGCAATACAAAAACAAAAAACAAAAACAAAGAATTATACCCCGTAACCAAGTGGAGCATTTCCAGCAGGCAAAGCTGGCTCAGTGTTAGAAAATCTGATATAATTTATCACAATAACAGACTCAAGAAGCAAAATCACATGATCATATCAATTAAAGCAGAAAAAGCATTCCCGTTATTCAACCTTTAAATAAACAAATTAATATCATCAATTCTAGACTGTTTTGGAGTACAGGAAGCAGATGGACAGACAGACAAACCATAACTGATATATTTTGATCCCCTAGGATCACAAGTCATGAGTGTCCCTGGGAGTTTCCTTCCAGCTCTGTTTCAGGGGACTTGATCTTCCCCTTTCCAGCTACTCATCTTTATGGAGAGATTTTCTCCTAATCCTCTAACAGAACAACAGATTGAATGAACATAGTTTTAGATATGCATGGTGGTGCATGCCTTTGATCCCAGCACTTGGCAGGCAGAGGCAGGGGAATCTCTGTAAGTATGAGGGCAGCCTGGTCTACACAATGAGTACCAGGACAGCCAGGGCTGCTTAGCTCCTGTCTCAAAAAAAATTTTTCTTTTCCTTGAAACAGGATCTCAAGTAGGTGAGGTTGGCCTTGAAAACAATTGTTTTCGGGTCTCTGTGACTTGAAGGCTAGAGCCACAGCGGGTACTCCATACACATGAGGAATCAACACAACCCTAAAGCTCTGGCATCAAACCTCTGCAGTTACACTCTGGACACTTCATCCTATGAGGGAAAGAAATGCAGTTGGCTGTTGTGTTTCTTGTAGGCAAATAAGACACGTTTCTAATTGACAGGTGCCCCGGTACGAACAGCTGGATGGGTCCTGTTGACTGAAGTGCTCATGGCTTTGTCAGGGTAGGGTAGGGATGCCAAGTCCAGGGTCAAGACCTGGAATAGGATTAAGAAGCTCTGCATGTGGGCTGGAGAGATGGCTCAGCGGTTAAGAGCACTGACTGCTCTGCTCCTCCAGAGGTCCTGAGTTCAATTCCCAGCAACCACAAGCACCCTTAATGAATTGGTGCTCTCTTCTGGCCTGTATACAGGTAGAACACTGTATAAATAATAAATAAGTATTGAAAAAAAAGTAAAGAAAAATAAGAAGCTCTGGATGTAAGAGAGAGACTTGACTTGGATGAGATAGTACCAACCATATGGAGAGAGAGCCCCCAGAGAGCTGCCTGAAGTCACCACACCAACCATAGGAACCTCAGTGAACAGTAAGCACCAAACCCCTCCTTACCCCAAAAATCTCTGGTAAAGAGTATTGCTCTCCTGCTTGGTCCAGGCGGGTTGGTTTTAAGACAGACTAGTAGGTGCTGATCTCTGAGCCCAGGCTGTCATGGATGCTGAGTGCCAGAGGGGAGGGATCAGTGTACACTGCAAACATCGGGTATACAGGACTGGTTCCCAAGTCCAACCAGCCCTGCCCCACGCGTGCAGGATTCCCAGCAGGGCACTAGGCTCTTCAGAGTGTCCGGTTTCTCCATCTGCACAGCGAACACATTGGCAGGATCTGCACCAAGGGTGGTGGTGAGAATTTGATGACACAGCACAGGGAGTGGTGGGGTGGCCCAGGGCCTGACTTCCAACAGCTGTTCAACAACTGTTTACTATGGTCACTAGGGCTACAATCATAATCATTAAACTAAATAATGGCGAGATGGCCAGGTGTCATGGAGCTCACCTGTGATCCCATTGTGAGTTCAAGGTCAGCTGGACCACAATGGAAGAACTCTACTCATAAAGATGATGTGGGAAGGATAAAGACAGAAAGATTAAGGAGGAGATAGAAAGAAGTGGAGGAGAGAAAGAGGGCAGGAAAGAGGGCCAGTCCTGTGTGTACGGATTGAGTAAGAACACTCACCGCTCTTTTCCTTTTGACAATCCATGGCCCTTGAAACTTTGATTCTGTAGGGAGAAAAGAAAAATGATGTAATTGGTTTTGCACACCCACCTACCTTCCTGTTTAACTTAGTTCAGATAGTGAGACTCTCAAATTACCACACTCAATGGGGTTTTCAGGCATGAGCATCCAGCCTGGCTGTGTTCTCCCTCATCGTCTCTGCCCAGAAATCAGGGCAGAACTTACCTGCTTATCAAGGAATGACTTCTCCATCACTGGAGAATTATACCATAGGCAAGATTGCTATATGAAGGTCTACTCATCGGTGTTTCAAATGCCAACCCAAAGCCCAGCCTGAGAGCTCCTCTGAATCCGTGGGGAGAGTCTGGACCTTCTATTCTGAGTTTTGATTGTACAGAAGATCTAGGAAGGGACTGTTTAGGTTTTTTTTAACTCTTTGTTCTTTGGAGGCCTGCCACCCAGCTCCCAGATAAATACACAGAGACTTATTCTTACTTTTGAATGTCTCGCCTTACCTTGGCTTGTTCCTAGCCAGTTTTTCTTAAATTAACCCATTTATTTTTTTGCCTCTGGGCTTTCATCTTTCTCTATTCTATATGTCTTTCTTTCCATCTTATTCCATTGCTGGTTGGGTGACTGGCCCCTGGTGTCCTCCTTTCCTCTGCTTTTTGCTCCTTCCTCCTCTCTTCCCCTTCTATTTCTTCTCTCTAGCTGGCAGTCCCACTTATCCCTCTCCTGCCTCGCTATTGGCCATTCATCTCTTTATTAGATCAATCAGGTGTTTTAGGCAGGCAAAGTAACACAGCGTCACAGAGTTAAACAAATAAAACAAAAGAATGCAACATATCTTTGCATCATTAAACAAATACACCACAGCATAAATGAAATAACACATCTTCAACTAATACTCCACCACAGACTGTGCCCACTTCTCAGAGTGATTTCCTTATCTCCCAAAAGACCTCCCCAGTCCTCTATGGATAGGGGTGTGGTTTAGCTCTGACCAAGTTCCAAAAAGACTGGCCCCAGTCCTGGTTGGATGGCTCCCTGAGGCATGGATGACTATAGGGAACACACTGTCCTGTTCAGGATGACATCTTCAGGGCGGATGGGCTTTTCTGTTGTCCTCTAACACAGTACCACAGATGTAGTGGCTATGCATCCATTATCAAATTGTTTCTGTGGGTGGATAGTCTGTCCACAGCTTAACTGAATGGTTTGCACATGTCTTACACAGCCACATCAGGTGCCTCCCCAAGAGATGGCTCTCTTTTGGAATAGGGGGTTTCTTCTACTCTCAGACGCATGGTGGGTACAAGTCAGTTGCTTGGGGTCCTAGGCCAGAGGTCCCTGGCAACTCATTCATTAGCTGGGACTTGCTCCCAAGTCTCTAAAGACATGGGTGTCTGTTTTAGAATATTATTTTAACTATATAAAGATGTTTTACATTTGTTTCATGCTGCAGAATCTTACTTTAACTGTGTAAAGGTGTGTTGCTTTTGTTCATGCTGCATTTGTTTAGTTATGTAAAGATGTGTTGCGTTTGTTTCAACTTGTCTGCCTAAGACACCTAACTGGTCAATAAAGAACTGAATGGCTAGGCAGGAAAAGAATAGGTGGGGCCGGCAGGGAGAGAAAATAAATAGGAGAAGGACTCTAGACTCAAGAGAGGTAAGAAGGAGAGGAGGAGGGAGAGAAGGAGAGAGAGAATGAGGGACACACCCGGGGTAAGAAGCCAGGCAGACACCAGCAAGACAGACAGAGAGAAACAGATATACAGAAGTAAGAAATGTAATAAGCCCCAATGCAAAAGGTAGATAAAATAAACAGGTTAATTTAAGTTAAAAGAGCCAGAAATGTGCCTAAGCCTGGCCGAGCATTCAAAACTAATAAGTCTCTGTGTCATGATTTGGGAGCTGGCTGGTGGCCCTAAAAGAAAAAGCCTGGTACTGATGTCTGTTTGCACCCAGGTTCCCTCCAGAGTGCTTGTGGTACTTCTAAGCCTTCCCCTCCATGTCAGCTCTAATGAGTCTGTAACCTAACAGGATCACAGGAGGAGCTTGCCGCCATTTCACAGGCTCTGCCCACACTCTGGGTACATCAAAGAATGGTTATCTTTGGGATCATCTTGGTGTTCTGATTACCACTCAGTCATACCCTTTAAAGGGAACAGAGTAAGGACACTGCTTTACCAAACTAGGGAACCCCAAAAGCAAGCAAAATTATAGTTCAGTCTCACTGCAGTCCCTACAACACAGCCAGTGTGCTTCAAACTATCCTAATCTTTTTGTTTGCTTGCTTTGGTGTTTCAAGCCAGGGTTTCACTGCGTGGCCCTGGCTGTCCTAGAATTAACTCAGCTGATCAGACTGACCTCAAACTCATGAGATCCACCTGTTTCGGCCTCTGAGTGCTGGGATTAAGGGTACGTGCAACTACCACTTGGCTAAATTCTAAGTTTTTAAAAACCTGTTATCTTTCATTCTTTTTCCTGCTCTCAGTTCTAGACTTTTCCCAGGCAGTCACTCCCTGGCTTTTGATTGCAAAACTTTTCCTTTCTTCACTGCTTGCATTACTATAGCTGCCCAACTTTAATCAACAGTGTGTGCATAAGTGAACCTACGAATACTGTGTGTGTGTCTGTGTGTGTGTGTGTGTGTGTCTGTGTGTGTGTCTGTGTGTGTGTGTCTGTGTGTGTGTGTGTCTGTGTGTGTGTGTGTGTGTGCAGGTGCACTCACCTGTGCCTGTGAGAGTAAAGGCCTGAGGCCAGTGTGATGGATATCTTCCACCACCCATTATCTCAACCATCTTCGTTTGAACGAGGGTCTCCCAGTGGACCTAAAGCTCACCCCTTTCCGCTAGCCTGGCTGGTCAGAGATCTGGCATCTGCCTGTCTCCCTGCCCCCCAGAGATGGGGTTACAGACATAGATGCCATTCCTACCTTTTATTTTGTTTTATTTGCTATTTCCAGGTGTGTGTGTGGTGTGCATGTATGTGAGCACATGTGTTTGTTGGACCATGTATGTCTGTGTCCATGTAGAGGTCTGAAGTTGTCAGGAACCATCTTCGTTCACTCTTCCATGTTGTGCCCTTAGGCAGGGTCTCTCAATCAAACCCAGAGCTTGCTGATATGGTTAGTATGCTAGCCAGCTTGCTCTGGAGAATCCCATCTTAACTTTTGAGGTTGGAACTACAGGTGTGTCACTGTGCCTACTTGGCATTTACATAAATCTGGGGACTCTTAACTCATACTGGAGTGGCAGGCGACTGAACAACTGAGCCATCCTTCTAGCCCACATCCAAATTTTACACAGGTACTAGAATTTTCATGCTAACATAGCAAGGATTTTACCTACTGAGTTGTCTCCCAGTTCTCTGTGCTATTTTACTTACTTTTCATCTAGGTCTCTACCACTTTGTTTTTTAAGCATTTAGGAGTGAATGTGGGGCTTGGCACAAGCTAGACATGTCCATCCCTGAGCAGATCATTCATGAGAAGATGTAATATCATAAAGTATTGAGTCATCCAATTCCTGAATATGGTTTGTCTCTACTCATTCGTCAATTTTATTTTCTTTCCAAATATTTTCTGGTTTTCATATGGAAGTCTTCTAAGTTTTAATTTTATTTGCAGACAATTAATATTGTAATGCTGTTGTAAACATATTTTTGATGTGTATGAGTACACATGTAAACAAATGAGTATGCATGTATGTATAAATGCTCGTGAATGCCAGACAGGTTGTGGTAGTTTAATTGTAACTGGCCCACACAAACTCATAGGGAGAGGCACTATTAGGAGGTGTGGCCTTATCGGAGTAGGTGTGGGCTTGTTGGAGGAAGTGCGTCACTGTGAGGGTGGGCTTTGAGGTCTCACATATGCTCAAGCCATGCCCAGTGTCTCAATTCACTTCCTGTTTCCTGCAAATCAAAGCTGTAGAATTCTCAGCTCCTTCTCCAGAACCATGTCTGTCTGCACACTGCCATATCCTACCATGATGAAAATGGACTAAACCTCTGAAACTGTAAGCCAACCAATTAAATATTTTCCTTTATAAGAGTTGCTGTAGTCACTAAGGCAGAAGTTGGTGCCAGGAACTGGGGTATGGCTGTATAAGGCCTGACCATGCTAGTGTTTGAAGCAGCATGGACCCTGGGACTGTGGATTAGAAAAGCAGTTGAACACAGTGCTGCTTAATGGGCCGTCCTAGTAGGAGCATGGAAGACAGTGGTGCTGAGTGTGACCTGAGCTGTGGGTGGTGGACCAAGAGGTTTCAGAGGAATGTTAGTATGTTAGCGCAGTCTTGTGATATTTTGGTGAAGAAAGTGGTTGCTTTTTACTCTTGTCTGAAGAGTCTGCCCGTGGCTAAGATTTGGATTAATTCTGTTGGCAGAAGAAATCTCAAAACAGCCAGTATTGACTCTGTTGTATGGTTATTAGTGTTAACTCTCATGAAGATACAGAATGAAACAGGGTAAGCTGAGAGAGGAAAAATATAAAATGTCCAATTTGAGGAGAAAATGATCACCAGGAGGTGAAATGGAACTAAACCTTTAGAAGTGGAATAAAGGGAGTAGTGACCTCAGGGTAAAGGCCCACCCAGCTAAGTTTCCAACACGTGAAGAGGGATTATAAAAAAGCTTAGAGCTGGGTGTGGTGGCGCATGCCTTAAATCCCAGCACTGGGAAGGCAGAGGCTGCTGCATCTCTGAGTTTGAGAATATCCTGGTCTACAGAATAAGTTCTAGAACAGCCAACCTAAGACAGTGAAAAGAGAAAGCTGTTGAAGATGTAATTGAATGAGGGGACCTTGTTCCCGCAGAACTTGGCAGCTTCAGCCACATGGTTCTGACTTTAGCGTCAAGGATAGAAGAAAGACATCATGTAATCTTCCTCTACAACTAAGAAAAGTCAAAGGGGCCAGGCACGTATCAGGGATGTCCTTGAATGGAGGCCCAGAGGGGCCATCGTGTGAAGCTGTGAAGGAGAAGCCTGGCTTGCCTTGGAGAGCCCGAGATGTTGGAAATGCCAAAGTTGTGGGATACCTGCGGATGAAAGCTGCTAATAGGGGAATGGAACCAGCCCAAGAGAAAGTGTGCCGTAGTCAATAGAACTGAAAAGAGCTGGAGAGCTGAAGAACGTTTTGACATCAGACATGAAAATGCAGTTTGGAGTCTGTCCAGCTGCTTTTCGGTTTTGCTTTGGTCCAATGTTTCCTCACTCTGCTCCCTTCCCTATGTTTTGGAATGGTGATGTATATCCTGTGCCATTATATGTTGAAAGTATGTGATCTATTTTTTGATTTTGATTTTATAGGGAGTTACAGTTAAGAGACTGCATGAATCTCAGAAAGACTTTGAACATTGGACTTTAAAACATTGTTAGACTATGATAGACTATGGGGACTTTTGAAGTTGGACTAAATGCATTTTGCTTTATGTTATCATTACAAGTTTGTGGAGGTCAGAGAGTAGAATGTAGTTTGAATGTAAATGCCTCCTATAGAATGTAGTGCCTCAGGAATGGCACTATTGGAAGGTGTGTCTTTGTTGGAGTAGGAATGGCCTTGTTGGAGGAAGTGCATCACTCTGGGGGTGGGCTTTGAGGTCTCATACATGCTCATGTAATGTCCAGTATCTCAGTCCACTTCTGTTGTTGTGGAAGTTTCAGAATGACCACTGTGAGGAAGATGGACTTCACAGCAAAAGGAGACCGGAAACCAATGAGGAGGGCAGCCATTAGATGCCAGAGCTGCCGTGAAATAGCCTCTGCCAGGAATACAGCTCTACACAGTGCCCTTCTCCACTAGGCCTGTTGGATAACAAACTGTCCAAGCCAGTAGACTTATGGTAGCTCATTACCACAACCACCCTGAAGCAGATACAAACAGAAGCAAAACTGATTAATGTATGCTACCTGCAGTCGGCACCCTCGCTAAACTATCAATGGAAGCAGCTTATAGATTCCCTCATATTTTCTATGTACATACATGCTATCTATGAACAAAGACAAATTTGCTCCTTCTTTTTCCATGTCTATGTCTTCTGTTTATTTTTGCTGCGGTGGCTAAACCCTAATCTAGTGCTGGCTAAAAGTTTTCAGTGCAAACATCTTTACCTTAGGTCTGGCCTTAAGGGACATTTCCTGTTTCAACTTTTAAAAAATGATATTGGGGAAGCCATCAAGATGGCTCCACGGGCAAAGGTGCTTGCAGCCAAGCCTGATTCTCTGCATTCAATCCTGGAGACCCACATGGTGGAAAAAGAGAGAATGGACTCACAGCTTGTCCTCTGGCTCCATGCATGGGCCGTAGAGCACATATGCTCACTCACATAAATTAAAAATGTAATAAAATTTTGTTTTTAAACAACAATGCTACTATAAATTCTTATAATTGCCCTGTACCAAAAGGGTAATTTTTCTGCTATCCCCTAGTTTTTCAAGAACAAGTATTTCATTTCATTGTTTTACTTAAGGCATCCTTTCTTACATCACTATGGAAATCTATAAAATTCCCTGACCACATCTTTCACTGATAATAATTATGCTATTCAGCCATCACGGTCATCAAGTTCCGGTTCTTCAGAGGTGTTTGACATTCTCTTCTGCCTGACACCGCAAGAACTGAATGTGTCAAATACACACACGGTGTGTGTGAGGTGCATACATGCATTTTTCTGTGTAAGAGTGCATGACCTTGCAGCATATGTAGTGTTGGAGGGCTGTCTCAGTCCTGAGTGTCAGTCCTCACCTTACACCTAGTTTGGGACAAGGTCCTTTTTGTTGTTCACTGTCCTGTATGCCAGGCAAGCTGGCCTTCAAGCTTTCAAGGCTCACCTGTCCCCACCTCCCATCTCACCCGAGGAGCTGGGATTACAGAATTGTGCTACCATGCCCAGCTTCATCTTGGTTCTGGGCAATCTAACTCAGGGCTTCACAATTTCACAGAAAGCATCCCTCCCACTGAGCCACCTCCCTGGCCATGAACTGTACATGCGATGTCAGTGTCCTTGCTTGCCTTCCCCAGAGAGCATAAGGACCCATCCAAAGTTAAGGGTTCTCAGAAGAGACTGGCTTTTGTATCTTTTGGGAATAGCAAATGGCTTATCAGGACCGTATCATTTGTATGTGACAGCATATCCAAGCGACCGCAAGCAGAGGGAGATGCGAGTTAGGCTTGTGGAGCTCCGCACAGTCCCCGGGTTCCCCAATCTCCCAGCCCGTCTCTGTGTCCACGTTTCCCATGTCGCACAGACACCCCAGGGCCTCAGGTGGGGACGAGCAGCTAGGTGGCTCCATCCATCAAAGGCAAGTCTATTCTAATGAATACCTTTGCCAGGGTGGGACCCTCAGAAGGGTCTGGGACTCAGAAAGAACCCGCAGTTTCAATTATTGGCCCTACTCTATTTGTGATACAATCTTCATCCACCCCAAGGGGCACAAAGAAACAATGGCGTAGGAGAGATTTCTTTTCTTTTCCTTTTTTAAAAGAGTCCTGCCAGGCTGTGGTGACGCACGCCTTTAATCCCAGTACTCGGGACTCAGAGGCAGGTGGATCTCTGTGAGTTTGAGGCCAGCCTGGTCTACAAGAGTTAGTTCCACGACAGGTTCCAAAGGTACAGAAGAGAAAACCTATCTCAAAAAAAAAAAAAAAACACAAAAACAGAAAAAAGTTCTTATGGATTTCTCTTTTACCACCAAGTTTCTCCCAATGTATGTATGTGTGTGTGAGTGTGTGTGTGTGTTGTATGCATTTCTGAAAATATTTTTCCTTGCATGCAGTGGGTCTCTCTACCCTCATTACACCCCAAAGGGCAGAGAGGGTTAGGGAGCTGACTCTTATCCCCACCAACCAACCAACATTTCTGTACTGGCTCCCTGGACATGGGACCAACATTTCTGTACTGGCTCCCCGGACACGGGCTCTATCACCGTTATCTCTATGCTCATTCGCCAACGCAGGGTCTTACTGCACTTGTCTTTCTGATCAAGGACAAAGATCCAGTCCTGCTGCAGATGGGCCACATGGTGCCTTTACACTGATAGAGGGAGGACGGGGGATAACCAGGTGGAACACCTTATGCCTAATAAAAACCCAAACCCCCGTAGGAGTTGACGGTCTTCCCAGCTCCGGGGCCTCTTCCTCTGTCCCGGGACTCTATGATGCTTGCCAATAAACGTTTCTTTTGCTTTGCTATCAGAGCACTTCCTGTCTTGTAATTCTTTAATTCACAGAGAAAATTACCCCATCTGCTAGTTGGTATCAAAATAATTCACGCAAGAGAGTTATTGACAACCACTCTAATTAAGCCAATTAAATGTTTTAAGTACTTTTTATTGATAACCAGACCAAAACTGAGATTGTGACTATTCCTGCCCAAGCTCCAGGGTACAGTGTTTTTAAAGGCAAAACCCACACAGACATAATTTGCATCAAAGTTAGATGAGGGTCAAAGTGACCTTGAAGCATTCATTCCTGGAAGAGCATAGTAACTATTTTAGACACAACATGCCAATTATTTTTGATTTACATAGTTCCTAGTTATTTTAGTTTGCTTTAATTATTTTGATTAATACAACTGAACCATGGTCAAGGCCATGGAAATATCAAATAATGCTGCCAAGGCAGACATGACCACTGTGGGGGTCGGGGGTAGAAGGCCTGTGAACTAAGTAAACAAAATGGAGTTAGAACAAGACAATGTTGCCTTAATCGTTTCACTATCAAAAGAGAACAGGATTATGGGAAGGGCTACTGCCGCAGACATTTGTTTTAATTCTGTTAATGACACTTGAATAGCGAGATGTCTCCAATGTGTGTGTTGAAAGTGTTACTTTATGGGGGCTGGAGAGATGGCTCAGTGGTTAAGAGCACCGCCTGCTCTTCCAAAGGTCCTGAGTTCAATTCCCAGCAACCACATGGTGGCTCACAACCATCTGTAATGAGATCTGTGCCCTCTTCTGGCCTGCAGGCAGAGTATTGAGAATACTGTATACATAATAAATAAATAAATCTTAAAAAAAAAAGAAAGAGTGTTACTTTAGGAAGTGAATCATAATGACAGCATAGTGGAGGTGGAGGGAATCATTGTAAACCCACAAAGTTCAAAGAGGAGGCTTTATTGGATGTGGGAAACGAAAACAGAGGAGTCAGAGTAGCGCCCCAGTTTCTAACTTCATCAACAGCAGTTACTCAATAGAGATAGCTGTGTGCGGTCTCTGCTTGACAGCTGGGGTACAGGGCTACAGGGAGCAAGTCGATCCAGGAATCTAGAAGGAAAGACGCGAGCTAAACAAACGTTAGACGGAGTAATGAATCCTGGCAGGAGGAGTAAACTCATGGCACTCTGCCGGTAGACAGAGTCACCTTCTGTTCTGCGAGGGAAAGAATCCAGAGGTGGCATTCTGAGAAGTTGAAACACGAAAGTAGCAGCAGGTTGGGACCAGAATGTTGGGTTCTAAGGCGACTCATTTCCCTTCTTTCGATCTCATTTTTCTTGATCTTAAAATCAGGATTGACTTGTCGGTTCCTATAATGCAAGAGCTTGTCTGATTTGAGGCTCAGATAGAATTGGGATTGGAAAAGCCACTAATGAAGATTTGATGGACGGACGGAAGGACAGACAGGCAAATGGATGAAAGAATCTCTAAAGGTTTCTTTAAGTCAGGATAATATCTAGGGGCCACAGAAGACGCTGGGTACATTTTTGATTCTAGACTCAGTAAATATCCTGACAGCATTCCAGGCTCGCAGAGCATGCGCTGAAGTTCCTGTGGCGCAGGGCACGTCGGGCTTGTAGTCTTTAGAGAGATGAGGGTATTCTTTTCTCCCCACCCCCACCCAACCTTCCTGTTCTAAATCCCTCCGCGATTTCCCTTCCTCTAAGGACATCAAAAGCATCGAATTGGTGTCACTCTTACCTTCTGTCGCGACATGACATGGGCCCAAACCAAACCGCCACCTGCGCTTGGGAGAGCCTGTGCGTCTCGTTACCACGACGACGAAGGGAGGCGTCCGGATCCGCCACTCTGATTGGATGATATTAGGCCACGCCTCTAGGCCATAGCGGCTGCCTCTACCTCAGGCTCTTTGAAGTGGTGCCTAACCTTTCGCTCTTATGCCCCAACAACAGCTCTACTTAGGATACACTGCCTGCCGCAGCACCTACGGTCCAGCTGTCCAGCTCCACTCCCCACGCTCTAAAAGCCCTGCATCTGAAAAATTGTCACGTTTCAGAAAATGCGGTCCTCCGATCTTACTGAAGGAAGTTTCCTCACCAGGTTCAGCCCCAAACACTCAGTCATTTTCTTTTTAAATTTGGGTTTGGATTTGTTGTTGTTTGAAACAGGGTTTCACATTACCCAGGCTAGCCTCAAACTCACTTCCTAACCAAAGATGACCTTGAAATCGGAGACACACCTCTACGTCTGGCTCCCTCACTATCTAACTCTTAAGCACCCAGCAACAGTGGCATTTACTTGGGAAGTAGAGGTAGGAGGATTCAAAGGCATCCTGGGTTAGAAAGTGAGTTTAAAGTCAGACAATGTAACATAAAACCCTGCTTCAAAAACAAAATTAAGCTATTTATAATCTTGGGTTTTGTGTGTGATGTTAGGGAGAGAGCCTAGAGCCTGTTGTATAATAGACAAGCACTCTACAGCTGAGATATATCCCAGACAGAAAATAATTGCTTTTCTTTTAAAGACAGGGTCTCAATGTGTAGTGCTGGCTGTCCAAGAATGCATCATGTCAACCAGGCTTGCCCCAAACTCTGCCTCCTCTGTGTCTACCTCCCAAGGATGGGATCAAAGGTGTAAGTGCCATTAGTCAGGTCATAACAATAATTAATCCTTAAGTACCAATTGCATGCCAGAGCTAACCCTCATGCCTGCTGCAGCGCCATGATCAACTGCCCACTGCGCCCTGTCCACCTCAAGTCATTCTCTTCTTGAGCACATTCCGTCACCTCCCCACCCATGGGCAGCCTTCCCGAGCTCCTCCAGCCCACTCTGTGGCCCTGTTTCCAGTTGGTGGCTTGACCTTTATTTCCCATCCCCACCTTCTGCATACACCACACTGAAGGCACTTTCTCCTCTTCTGCCCTAACCTCAACTTGTATCTTATCTCATTCTGGAAAAAGTTCTCTAAATCCTCACTATCTCCTTCCGTAAGAATCTAGAAAGAAAAAAGAAGGGAAAGGGGGAGTTCTTATGTATTTTCTGTTGTGTTCCAGGGGCATAGCACATGCCCGGCACTTGGCAGCTCGCCAACACCGTCTAGTGACTGACTGAATGAGAAAATATTGATTAAACAGATAGTTACCAACTGTGAAATTAGAATACAAAGCCCCAGACTAAATATACGTCCAAAATAATTGAGAAAAGGACTCAAATGTTTATATACAGGTGTTCACACCCAAAGAATTCACAGTGGCCCCCAAATGGAAACAACCTGAATGTCCATTAAGAGTCAAATTAGTGACAGTTATTACTAGATACATACAATCGAACATTACTCGGTCATGAAGAGGCATGGAGTGCTGAAACACACTGATGTGTCAATGAACCTAAAAAGTATGCTAAGGGAAAGAAGGTCATAAAATGTGTGAGGGGGGTACCCAAATAATTCTCACAAAACGTTAAGAAAAAGAAGTCCCCACCCTGGCTTCTACAAATAAAAATGGGCAAAAGATAGCTTGTTAGTCACCTTCGTTGTGGCTGAAGAAAGGGAAGGTTTCCTTTGGCTCAAAGTTTGAGGGTACAGTGCAGCACTCTGGGGAAGGGGTGTCAGTGGGAATGTGAGGCCGCATGGCTAGCTGCAGCCGCAGCTGAGAGTCGGAAAAGATGAAGGCCGCTGCTCAGCCCATTTCCCGTCTTCTTTGTGTGCAGCCCAGAACATTTTCTTCTTCCCGTGAAGCCCGTGGGATGGAGCCACCTCTTTCAGATGAGTCCTTCGTACTTCAATTAACCCAATCTAGAAAATTCCTCACAGGTAACCCAGAGATGTGTCTCCCAGGAGGTTCTAGATCCTGTCAAGCAGACAATATTACACACCACTGTCTGTCGGGAGCCGTTATCAAAAGCTTTTGTGGGCCATGATGCAACTGCAGCTTATAACAATCGATAAGTAGGATGTCAACCCATCCGAGGAATTATTCTCAGATGGAGAAACCCAGCCCGGCAAAGCCAGCAGGGCCACTGACTCTGAAAACTGTTGAGAGTCCAGGGTTCAAGTCCCTGTTCCGGTGCCAGCTGTAAGGGTCAAGAGTCCAACTCCAGCCCCAGCCCAGGGTTCCGAAGGTGAAATGCTGCTTAGGAGAGAAGGAGGTGAAAGGTCTCTAGTGACTTCACACACCATCTGAGGGTTGTTACTGGAAAGTGGGGTGGACGCTAGTCGAGCAATCCCAAGCTAACTCCAAAAGACTCCAGTTATCATTCTTTATTGTAAGGGGAAAACTCACAGAACAGGAAACGAGAAGTCCAACCTCAAGGTGTGTGTAACGCTGGAACAAGTGAGCAAGATCTGGGCGGGCCAGCGGTTTTCTCTGGTACCCACCCAAGAGGTCACACTCTAACCTGGTCCAGCTTCTTAAAGGTCATTGGCTGAAGGAGGTTCCCCATCAGAGGGTCATGCTCTATATTTCACGTGTTCTTTATTATTATTTTTTCTCAATCTTATTTCTTCTGCATCCTTATTTCTATCTCTATGATCTTATTCTACTTCTTTTGCCATAACAACTCCCAAGCGCGCGCTCGCACGCACACACATATATCCTTTCATTAGCAACTTGTTACTAATAAAAACTATAAGGAAACTTCTCAAGGACACGGGCATTCTTTGAAGATATGTAGCAAAACTTATCCGTTCATAGCTAACAGCAGCTGCAACTGTGAAGAGGTTCCAGCTGTCTTTTATAGGGGCTGCTACAGGTTACAAAGGAAGAACACTAGACCACTGAGAAATCTAAGGAAAAGACAAAGAATATTTGCTTTATTTTACATTTTTTAAGTGTGAATAATAATATCTGGACATCGTTAGTCAGTTAGGTGTTATTGATCTCTTGAAGAACTAAGATAAAACAAGGAGAGACACCTGCAATACCACCCTAATTCATCAAAAATCCTCTGAAGGCTTAGGTTGTACAAGGCCAGACATCTGCAATTTCATAAGTAATATCGTGGAAATTTCATCTATGTTCTGTCCAGAAGGACGCATGTCTGCCCAGCTTGCTCTGTCAGTAAGGCTAGTGATAGAGAACAGGCCTCTAAGTTTCTCACCGTAATGTGGAGGACATAGTGTAGAGAGTAGTCATGCTTTTGACCATCCACAGATATGTGTGCCCGTAAGATTGAGATGTAATCATGAGATCACATGTACACATTACATGATAATGCATGGTAATGGGAAGACATCATAGCTGTTACTATACAAGCGAATTATAGATGAAAGCAACACTTGTCAGAGTCAGTGGCCCTGCTGGCTTTGCTGGGTGTGGAAGCCCAAAAATATGGGCCCATTTCCACGTTGTCTGATGGTCAGAGAGTTTGGAGGGCACTCAAAATGACAAGCATAGTTGCACCCAACTCAGGATGGGATTACTTGATTCCTTTGACTTTAAGATAGCTCCATTCCATCCTGACAGATGGTCAGGATATACAAACATACTTCTTCTGCTCCTTCTTTTGTAACCATGAGGTCACCTGAGGAGTGGCTGTCTTCAAAATATGTGGTCTAGATCAGTTCCCTGCTTAAACTGCAGAATGCTAATGATTTGATGTCTCAGAGCGATAAAGTGATTGATTGTTAAGTAGTTCTACATTATCATGTTAATAAAGTCCTTTGTTACCTCCCCCCATTTACATTGGTTATAAAAGATGTGGAAAAATAAACACGGGTGATTTTAGTAATCACTGATATGCCCTCCTAATATTATTCTATGGTTTCTGTCTTATTATTTTTATACATCTCTGTATTCTTTACTTATATTTTTAAATTCCCATGCCTCTACCCTGGCAAGAGATATTTTTGTTGAGGTCAGTCCTTGACAATTTGACAGGGTTCATTCATCTGAAAATAATTTCTCAAATGGGTTGACATCTGAATTATCAATTGCTATAAGCTGTAATTGCATCATGGCCCACAAAAGCTTGTGATAAATGCTCCCAACAACAGACAGGAACAGGGAATTTTCTGCAGAAGAAGTTCAAATGAAAATGGAAAGATCTCACATGCTCTTGTTAGGTAGAATTAGCATAGTAAAAATGGCAATCTTACCAAAAACAATCTACAGATTCAATGCAATGCCTATCAAAATCCCAGAAAAATTCTTCAAAGACCTCAAAAGAATGGTACTCAACTTCATATGGAAAAGCAAAAAACCGAGGATAACCAGAACAATCCTGTACAATAAAAGAACTTCTGGAGGCATCACAATCCCTGACTTCAAACTCTACTACAAAAAAAAAAAGCCTCTACTACAGAACTACAGTACTGAAAACAGCCTGGTATTGGCATAAGAACAGACAGGAGGACCAATGGAACCGAATTGAAGACTCTGATATTAATCAACACACCTTCGAACATCTGATTTTTGATAAGCAAAAATTATAAAATGAAAGAAAGAAAGCATATTTAACAATGGTGCTGGCATAACTGGATATCAACATGTAGAAGAATGAAAATAGATCCATATCTATCTCCATGCATAAAACTCAAGTCCAAATGGATCAAAGACCTCAACATAAAGCCAGCCACACTGAACCTCATAGAAGAGAAAATGGTAAGTACACAAAAGACCACTTCCTAAATATAACCCCAACAGTACAGACAATGGAGAGAAACAATAAATGGGACCTCTTAAAACAAAGAAGCTTCTGTAAAGTAAAGGACATGGTCAACAAGACAAAATGGCAGCCTACAGAATGGGAAAAGCATAGGTAAGAAATATGGGTTAATTTAAGTGTAAGAGTTAGCTAGTAACAAGCCTGAGCTATCACCCGAGCATTTAAAACTCATATTAAGCCTCTGTGTCAGTTATTTGGCACTGGTGGCCAGGACTGGAAAAAAAAAACACAAAAACAAAACAAAACAGAAAACCATCCACCTACAGGACGGTTTTTCCTAAAGGAAATAGAGTTTCTAATTGTCACTTGTAATTTGCACACACTCTTGGTGACTTAAAAATCTCATGAAGGTGTTATCTTAAGGTTCTGAGAAGCCACCTGGAATGGGTCTCACTGGATGGATTAAGGTGTCCACACAGCTGAGTTCTTTCTAGTAGCTATAAAAAAATGTAACTCTGTTGCCTTACAGTTCCCAGCAGCGACTCCTGAAGTCTCTTGTGTGTGCCACAAGCGTCTCGACCAGGAGGAAATGAGTTGGTTAGTGACACACTTGGGTCCCTCCCCACTCTTACTGAAGTAGAAATTCTCTCCCTCCCTCCATTAGCCACCTCCCAAGCTCATTTCCAAAGACGTCGGCTATCTTTGAAATGTATTTTGAATCTTTTCAAGGAATCTTACCGGCCTAGGTATAGATGCTTTCTTGACATCTTGGTGTGAAAAACAGCTCAGAAATACAGTTGTCTCACCACAGCTCCCTTCCACCCTCAACACCAGACCCCTGTCCCTCTGCTTCCTCCAACCCCATCGCCCTGCCTCCCTGTCACCTGTGAGAACATTCGATCAGGGTTTCCCTGGACACACAAGCATCCTTCCACCTCGTCCCAGTTGATTCATGACTTTCATCCAGCTCCAGCCTTAACCTCCCCCCTCCTGTATAACACAACATAGTCAGAGTTGACAGCGGCCAGCATGCGGACATCTTTGAGAGCCATCATTTTGCTTACCACAGGGAGCATGGATGGGTTTCCGGGGAGCATGGATAGATTCCCGGGGAGACCTGTGTTTTAGCTGAATTTCTGTGAAGCCGTCACTTCGTGATTCATTGAAGGAAGTGGAGCTTTTCCTTAGCTCTCCCTCGCAGAGCAAACAGTCATAGCTATTAAATGTGCGGTGTCTAGTAACTTCCTTACTTTTTCTCCTTGGGGCTTTTACCACGCAGAGGGCTCTCATATGTGTGACTTGTTCATTCCCTCTAAGTACCAAGCAGGGACACAGAGCTACTGGGGCTGCCCCTTTATAGATGAAATAACCTAAGAAAATCAGCCCTCCCACCTAGGGCTCTGATATGGGGCCTTGTCTCCGAGGTCTTTTATCATCCCCACACCCCCAGGACGTGTGTATTTGAGACAAGATTTCATACAGTCTAGGCTGGCTCAAGTTCACAAGGTAGCCAAGACTGGATTTGAACTCTTGATTCTCCTGCATGTCTTCCAAGTGCTGTAGTTACAAGTGCACACCTCCACAGGCCACTTACCAGCGTCTCTGCACCGTCAGGGGCCAGGCCTTCTGGGAGACTCAGCCAACATCAGCACATCTTTGGTGTGACTTTCCACTAGAACTTGACATCCAATACCCACATGTTGAATTATTGATGTTTTCCTTTTTGTGGCAGACATAATGATTTTTTCAGGTCAGGGAACCTAGGAGTCCACTCCTTCCCTACCTGCCTCTGTCTGCATACCATGTCAGCCATGCCCTTAAATCGCCGCACATACCAAGTGCCCCCTCTTTGCAGCCTCTTTGTCTGCCCCATCCCAAGTTGTCTTCATCTCCCACCTGCACAGCTGCCCAGGCCTCCTTGATGGCTTCCCTAAGAGGAGGGCCAGTGGGGGACACAGTGAAGGACTTAAACCCTTCAAACCAGATGTCATGGCCCTGGGTTAAAGTTTCCCTTTGGATTTCCGTTCCACAGAAGAGAAACCAATGCTAAGCCTAATTGTGCCATGGAGGGTTCTTTATGCAGGGGACCCGACTGAGCTCTTCAGCCCATGTCATGCCCCTGCCTCAGCTCCCTCTGCTCCAACTATACCTGCTCTGCCCGCAGGCCACCCTCTCCCAAGCACAGGCCTCTACGGTGCTGTCTTTTTGTCCTTCTCTGCTCTTGCAGTAGCTGCTCTAGGTCTCAGCTCCAATGTTGCTTTCAGAGAGGTTCTCTTGGCCGGTCCTGCTTTGTTTATCAGCTGTGGCCTTCAGTAAGTGCAGTATCTGTCCGCAGTTTTCCTTGGCCTTCTTGCCTAGATCTGGGACAGGAGTTTTGTTTGACATTAAGCACAAGAGGCTACCAGCATCTGCCACACAGATTGTCTGAGATGAGCCCAAAGTGGACGCCACACGCTACATTTTGAAGACTCAACACATCATCAATAATCTCTACCCACTGACTAGAATGATAGTATCTGGATACACTGAATTAAACCAAAACATTATCAACCATTAATTTGCATCCACTGTCTTCATGTGAGTGCTGGAAATTTTCCCTTTATACATGAACACGTGTTGTACCTCATGGAGGGATGGGCCCAAGGCCTCTTAGATTTTTTCCATTTGTGATCCCTGCCGCTTTTTGGTTTGGGTTTCTTTGTTTCTGAGACAGGGATTCTTGTAATCCAGGCTGGCCTCACACTTGCTGTTCTGATCCTGCCACCTCTGCCTCCCAAGTGCTAGATTGCAGAAGCTTACGTGTGCAATGCTGGGATTCAAACCCCAGGGCTCATGTCTGCCAGACAAACACTATCAGCTGAGCTGTATCCAGCCCTTTTTCCTTGTAAGAAAGAACTCCTGGGCATATAAGCGTATCCAGTAGGTATACAAACCAAACATTTACTGATAATAAATCATAAAGCAATCTATTTTAAAATATGTTTAAACTACATACAATTTTATCACATATAAAGGCCTCTAACAAACATGCATCCTAATGAGATCATGTACTGCTTTAATTTCTGCATAAAGGACAAAATCTTGGCTGAATATTTGATACCATAGGATATTTTTCAGGTTTGATATTTTAATGTTATAATCATCAATGCTGAGAATGCCACTTTGTATAAATATGTAGCACAAATGTCAGAAAAAAATCTGTCCTAATCCCAATCCAAAATTCATGTAATAATTCTTAGGAAATTGAATTCAGGAACTCGATCAGAATTTAAAAAAAAAAAAACATTTCAGTGTAACATAATCCGAAGATATTTTAGTTTGACACATGTTGAGGAATAATGGCAGGAAAATATTGAGTCTTTCCTCCGGTTAATTATGTAGTCTGTACAGTAAACCTCTGCAGTTCTTAACACACCAGAATCTCAACTCTGGCCAGAGGTGTTCATGGGTGGTGTGGACTGAGCAGCAGATTCAAGAACAAGACTGCAGGACTGTTACGCGGCCACACAGGTGACTGCTGTCTGAAAGACCCCAGACTCACTAGGGGGCTGCTTTGGGATGTTTAATCACTACATAGTTAGAAACCTTTACTGTTGCCAAAATTTTCACAACCATCACACATACAGTTTGAGCCAAACCCACTGCTTCAGAGACTGAGGTCTAGACGGCTCCCTACCGAAGGGAAGAACTGCCTTTATCTCTTCCCTAGTCCCTACTGCTTGTTAAATATTTGTGGGCTAATTTGTGTTTTATGAAAACAGAGAACGCTGAGTCAGACACCCCACATTCACTGTGAACTCAAGGAAGGGAGAAACCTAAAGAATGGCTTTCTTTTTCTCCAATTGCACTTGAACAGATTCTCTGTCCCTGCCCGTGTGAACATGCCCCTGCAGTCACTTAGAAGGACAGCTGTGCCGGCCACAGGCACAAAGCAGGTACAGCTGTTTCTGTCCGGTCCCCACAGGAGGTGCCTAAGCCCCTTTAGTGTGCCTGTGCAGATAGCGTCAGCTGAAGGGGGACGGTCTCAGATTATTCAACAAGTAAGTGTGAACGCGGGCTGAACTGTGGACATCTTGTTGCAGTTTTCTGAGAGCCAGGATCCGGGTGACTGGAGCCTTTTTATACCTCCCTCTCCTCCACATTGACTCCTGATTTCTTCAGGCCTCTAACGGCAGTCATGCCTGGGGGCCTAGCAGAATTACCCACATGCACCATCTCCTGGGGACCAGAGTATGAAGGGTAGGTAGGAGATAGGAAGGTTGAGAGAGTGGACTGACGGATGATGTGAGGATGGATGGGAGGGAGAGAGAGAAGATGAGAGATGAGCGAACGGGTGGACTGATGCATACATGAATGGAAGAGAAGGCAGATGAAGGTGAATGGATTGGTAAATGGAAAGAACGGATGAGTAGACCTGGATGGGGGGATGCGTGGGAATGGGGAGGATGGCTGCTAGGATGGTTTCATGAGCTGGGGGATAAAATGGAAGGCATTTTTTTTTCTTATTTCTTGTCCCAAACAAAAACCGAGCAGCAGAGCCCTTAGCAATGAGTCCAGCCTCCATACTAAACTCCATACTAAAGAAAAGCTGGTTGCTTTGCCCCCAGCCGAGGGCAGGTGCAGGCACAGCCGCAAACTGAGTGTCTGGGCCCTTTTCGGGGCTCCCCACCACATTCCCCTGCAACGCCGCGCCTGACGGTGCCAGGGTGGGGGGAGCGCCCCGCCCCCACCTCCGGAGGTGGCGTCCCACGCGGCCGCAACAAGCTGCCGTTGTCCCGCGGGCCGTGGGCCCCGCACACTGGGGCTTTGTCCGGCCCCCCGCCACGATCCACGGGGGAGGGGGGCCCCACATGACCGAGGGGGTAGGAGGAGCCTGCGGCGGTGGCAGCGGCGGCGGCGGCGGCGGCAGCGACTCCATCACTTTCCTCCGGGGCCGGGGGTCGACGGGCAGTGGCACCGGCGACTGGACAGGGCTGGGCAGGGCCGTGGACGCCGGGCCCCTGGTTCCCCATTAGGCTGCGGGCTCTGGGCCTGGGGCCACCCAGCGCTTTCCAGGCGCCGAGCTGGGGGTGCGCCCGGCCACCCGGCCTCGGGATCATGGGGAATGGCATGACCAAGGTAGGGGGAACCCCTGCTACGCCTGGCCGTCCCCGCCCCGCGGCCGGGCCCAGGAAGGGTCGCTGACCTTCTGCTCCAGTTCTGAGATGTATGCCACATCTCTGTCACGCTGCCCTCGGAGACTCCCTCTGCCTTTCTCTGCCTCCGCCTGTGCCTGTCTGTCCTCTGCGCGACTCTGACTCTTGCTGTTTCTTTCGCTGGCCTCTCTGGGAGCGCCTTATTCTCTGTGCCTCGCTGTGCCTGTGTGGGTCTGAGATTGCTGGACTCTGGTGTCTCTTCTGTTCTTCTCGCTCTGCCCCGCATGGCCTTCCACCTGTGCCTGCCTCAATCCCCTCTGTCCGGGGTTCACTCTTGTGCCCCTTTCTGATCTCTACCTGGGACTTTCTACCCATCCCTCCTCTTCTGTCTGTCCCCAAGCTGAGCTCTCCTGACCCCTCCTGTGGTTAATTCATTGCCTGTTCTTGCATCCTTGCCAGAGGCCCAAGACCCCTCACGCAGCACCCAGACCTATCAGGGAGATGGCTTCCTGGGGTCCCATCACCAATAGAGAAGAGCTGCGGGCCCCAGCTACCATGGGTGGGAAGAGGTGCAGCCTGCCCCCTGACCCCTGCTGTCCTTCCTCCAGGTACTTCCTGGACTCTACCTTGGAAACTTCATTGGTGAGCACTTTCCACTCTGTCCCAGGCCTGTGTCCACTGTTCACACTCAGGCCCAGACAACTTAGACGCTCTCAAGAATGGAGTGGGGGGAGGGAAGGATGCCAGGCTGGGAGGAAAAAAGACTCAAGGAGGATTGGGGGGTGCAAGAGCGAACAGTCCCCAGGCTGGAAAGATCCCAGTTCAGCCTTTCCCCAAGGTTCACCAACAGGCTAAGGCCTGCACAAAGGGCTCAGGGTCTCCTTGCCCAGCTCCTCGGCATGAGGCCCACCAGCCCCCAAGGGCTCTTCCATAGTTTTTGTTGAGGTCTGCCTGGAGGTATGGCTAAGCTGGGGTTCTGAAAAGGATGCTGGACCGGCTCCTGTAAGCAGAGTCCTGAGTGGAGCCGCCAGGCAGCCTCAAGCCAGGGGGTGGCAAACCTGCAGGTGTCTGTCTTTTTCTCCCTACTTTCCCTTCCACAACCTTATGTGGGGGAGGGGCAGTGCCCTCCCCAATCCTGCCTTCACAGGCCCCCAGGGTGGTGGTCAGGAGCCAGAACTGGACATAGACCTTTGACTTGGTGGTGGAAAATGTGCTGAGACAGGCTGGCTCAAGGCCTGGGGACCCAAGGTGGAAAAGGCACAGAGAAGACGCAGGTGACCCACCCCACAGCCCTGGCTCCTTCCTCCCTAGGAGCCTCCTCAGCAGCTCCTCCCACATTGATTTCTGAGAGGATTCAGCTTAGCCGTGGGTTAGTTCCGCCAGGACAAGAGCCATGAAGTTGACCCCAGACTCTGCGCACATAGCGGGCATATGGGGAACATTTGGTGAATGAGGAAGCAGGGGTATGGGAATAAGGACTGTGTGCGATTTATCCTAGTTATAAAAGGTACATGCCGGCACATCTCACTCCCCAGAGATGACCACCGGCAGTCCTAAGGGGCATTTTGTCAGCTATTGTAGATACAGATGGAATATTTAAAACAAATGGGACCTCATTCTGCATGCTGTTCAGGAAAGTGATATGTCCCACTTAAAACATATATTGGCGACAACCTCGTCTATCAGCTCCTGGGGATCATTTTAATTGTGGCACAGGAGTCCAAAGTACAGTTGTACTTGTGTTTTCATTCTGTCCCTTTTTGGTTGACATTTGGTTGCTCCAAACATTTAGCTGCTTCTGCAATAAACAGAGCTGCAGAGAACTTCAGCCTCCATGTGTAACCGCTCTCTGTCCACAGATCCCTAGAAGTAGAATTTCTGAGTTAGGGGTCTGGGATGGGAAGAAAAACAACCTTTCTCTGATGGGTGCCCCATAGGCAGGGAAGGGATAGGCAAGCCAGTGGGCAGGGGGAGTGGGTCAAGCTGAAGGGAGGGGTGAGGAGGCAAGCTGGGCACTGGCTTTCTCTGCACTTGGCCCTTAGGAATAAATTAGTTCCATCTGCCAATGTGGCTCAAGTGTCCTGTTTCTTTCAGATGCCAAAGACCCTGATCAGCTAGGCCGGAATAAGATCACACACATCATCTCTATCCATGAATCACCCCAACCTCTGCTACAGGTATCTAAGCTCCCCATTCCAGGCTGATAGGTGGGGAGGGCAAGCCATAGGACCGGGACTGCACCCCACCCATCCTGACTTTCTAGTACTGGAACTGCAGCCCAGAGTGTCAGACACGCTAGGTAAATGCTCTGTTCTTGGGTCATAGTCCTTGAACAGCCATCTTGACCCCAGCTGACTCATCCAGCCTCCCTGGACTGTTTTAGCATCCTTGTTTGGCAACTGAGGCCACAGAGGTAAGTGAACTCGTGTAAGGTCATATGGTGAAGAAGCTGACCAACTAGAATTTGAACCTAGGCCATCTAACCCTAGAGATCTCATAGCAATCCTTAATTGAAAAGGCTCTGAAGATCTGAGATAAAAACAAACAGGCTGTAGGGGGCTGGAGAGATGGCTCAGTGGTTAAGAGCACTTGTTCTCATAAGAGACCCAGGCTTGGTTCCTAGCAACCACGTGGCAACTCACACTGTAAACTCCAGTTCCAGAGAGATCTGATGGGGACTGGGCACACAAACAGTATACATACATGCATGCAAGCAGAACACTTGTACACATAAAATAAATATTTTATGTTTATAAAAATGACAGAATCTGCCCACACACTTGCTGTGATGACCTTGGTCGGGGTCTTTCATCCTCTCTGGGCCTTGAACTTGTTTGTTTATTGGTCACCTGTCAAATTTAATGGTCTCTAAGGGCAGCTGACAATAATCTATGACTTTCATGGTCTATGAAGAAATTTCCAGGCCAGTGCAATCTGATTTTGCATTCTAGGGCAGCCTCGTTCTGGAGCACTGGAGTATGTAGTCTGAACAGATTGCACAGGCAGGCTTTCCAAGTTATTAATGTGTTTATTAAGAAATGAGTGCTTAGGAAAAGCACCCTGCCCCAACACCTCACCGGCAGCCGTCCCTCCCATCTGGGAGTTCAGCAGGCAGGGTTTGATGGTACCAGGCCAACCTACAGCCAAACACACTGAGAAGTGAAACTGCAGATCTTGCAAACAATGTGGGATTCTATAACCTTGAAACTCTTGGAAAGGGATGGGACAAATCTCTGTGGACACAAGAGAGTAAGTCCTGTGTCCTTTAGGAGCCACAGCCAGCAGCAGACCAGGCACCTGAAAAGGGCTGTGTGAAGTAACAAAGTGTTGAGCAAAATCTTTGAGAAATAGCAGGGAAATGTTTGGGATGTGGACAGAAATATCCTTGTGTGGAACTTCAGCAGGAAGCAAAGCCCATCAGACCAGTTCATGAAGCTGTTGTTGATGGAGGTGGTGGTGGTGTCTAGTGGTAGTAGTGGTGGTTTTTGGTTGTGGTGGTGGTGTCTGGTGGTGGTGGTGGTTTTGGTGATGGTGTGTGTGTGTGTGGGTATGTGTGTGTGTTGTTTGTTTGTCTTTTGAGACATGACTTGCTGTGGTAGCCCAGGCTGGCCTCTCACTCATCATCCTCCTGCCTCAGCCTCCTGAGTGCTAGGATTACAGGTCTGTGGTCAGGTCACTATGCCCGACTGTTCTTTTCAGAGTTCACACTCTTCAAGAAAAATGAGCTGTGCCCTTTTCACTGTATAACTTTGCAATCCCTGCCGGGAGGAGAATCCTCAAAGAAACACCTTCCCTGTTTCCAAGTCCTCACGTCCATGGCACTTGTGGGTGACGACACTGTCTTCACAGAGAGAGCTGACAGTTCCATACAGATAGTACCTGCTTCTTTGTGGACAGGAAACAATGGTGGCCCAGAGAGGAGCAGGAATGGTCTGGGGTCACCCTGGCCGTAGCAGCTCGGGGAGGGGTACAGGCAAGGCACCACTGTCTGAGTTTGTGTTTTATCCCTGCAGCATATCACATACCTTCGAATCTCAGTCGCTGATGCTCCTGAGGTACCCATGTAAGTTCCCCCAGATGGGCCACCAGCTGACGGAGAGCTGTCCCTGGGGTGGAGGTGAGGGCATAGAACGTTCAGACCAGAAAGGACACCCAGAGACAGACTGAGTCTGTTTCCACCATGCCCTTGCAACATGTCCCCACTAGCTCTCTCCAGAGCCTCAGCCTGCTCTGCTGTCATGTGGAGAAAGCGTCCTGTCTCCTGGGACCCAGCGCACAGCAGATTCGAGGGTCAGACTTGACCTGCGTCCTGGCTCGCAGTTAAGACACCTGGTTCACAGCCAGGCTTTGGCATTTACTGCTGTGTGACCTTGGCAAAAGCACTTGTCCTCTCTGAGCTACGTAAGGGCAGGATGTGATGAATCGAGGGTTTGTAAAGATGAGGTGACCTGAGTCGAGGACGTGGGACTGGACCTGGTAATTGCAGGGACTCTGGAAAACGGGGATCTTGTTTGGTTTGCTAACATTGATATCTCAAGACTGGGATGGACTCAGGCTGAAGCTTGGCCCTTTGGGGCCCTTCTCCCAGCCCACGGCTCACTATCGTTCCAGGTCCTCCAGGCCCCAGAGAATGGCACCTTGCTGTCCCCATACCCAGGTCCCTGAAAGGCCGGAATATGAACATAGTGGAAGCTCTTTCCCCATGTCCGCTGGAGAGGCACCTACCTAGATGGTGGGGCAGCCTCTCTCGCTGCTTGCTGTGCTGCCTCCTTCCCAAGCAGTGTCCCCTTCACTCTGCACGCTGGTTGCACCGAGGATCTAGGGTCTCTGTCCCTCGCTGACTGTAAGGGAGGGGGAAGCAGCTCCTGAGAGACCTGCCCCCCCCCAGCATTCCCTTCCCTGTTGCTTTCTTCTCCAGCAAAAAGCACTTCAAAGAATGTGTCAACTTTATCCACAGTTGCCGCCTCAACGGGGGTAACTGCCTTGTACACTGGTGAGTTCTGGGGCGCCCTCCCCCCATGCATGCCTATCCCGTGGGGCAGGTTCCCTCCAGCCTGTCACACTGCTGACAGTCCCTCGGGACAGACCACCCAGAGGTTCATCACTTCTGGCACCTGAGCTGTGTTTTTCTGAGACTCATTCTCTTTATCTGTCAAGTGGAGGAATCAATGCCGTGTTCACAGGGCTACTGAAGGAGCTGGGTGGGGTCACACAGGGAACCTGCTCATTCTCTCCCCATCTCTCTTCACTTTAGCATGGCTGGGACTTTGGGCTGAGTCTTCTCCAGGGTCCCTGACCCAAAGGATGTATTCATCCCATGACATCTCACCAAGGGCTCTGACTGGGGCCAAGGGACTAGTTCCCTCAAGACCTAGGTCTCCAGCTAGATGGTTGTGTCACGTGCCTTTAATTCCAGCACCTGGAAGGCAGAAATAGCTAGATCTCTGTGAGTTCAAGGCCAGCCTAGTCTACAGAGTGAGTTCCAGGACAGCCAGGGCCACACAAAGAAACCCTGACTCAGAAAAAAAAAAAAAAGAAAAGAAAAAATGACCTAGCTCTCCTCGTAGTCAGCCATCTTCCAGTCCACAGCCCACCTTCCACCTCGTGATCGCTGCACGCTCCTCTTAGAGTATTTTGTCTTGTTTTGTCTCGTGGTGTGGGCAATTGAACTCAGCCACATTAACACCGAAAAAGCCCTCCACGATCACCCATTGCTCCAGTTCCACAACATTCTTGTCTATCCCTGTCTTTCAAGACTCGGCTTGATGTTCACTTCCTAGGGAGCCTCTCCCCAGCACCTCTCCTGCCTGCATTTAAGAAACCTCTCTACTTATGTACATGGCTCTTCAAGCCCCAGAGTTATCTTGTCTTCAGGCAATCATCTGAAATTGCTGCTTTGCCTAGTGACTATCTTGCCAAACAATACTGTAAGCTCCAGGGCAGCAGAGGCCATGAGTTTTGTTTTGTTTTGTTTTTCCTGGCCATACCCTAGTGCCTGAACAAAAACACTATCAGGGGAACTTTGTTGAATGATGTCTCAGCCAGTCCCTTGGAATGGGGGAGTGAGTGTTGCTCAGAGGGAAGGGAAATGTCACAGGCAAATCTTAAAGCAAGGAAGGCAGATCCAGGCAGGCTCCTCATGGTTGGAGCTCAAGGGGCAAGCATGAGGAAGGACCAGGGAGGCAAGGGAACTGGCAGGGAGGGATGTGGAAGGGAGGGGGACCTTCCTGAAGCCTGGGGTTATCCGGGATCCAGCTTCGCAGGTATATCTCGAAGTACCACCGTTGTGATCGCCTATGTGATGACGGTGACCGGACTAGGCTGGCGGGAAATACTTGAAGCCATCAAGGCCACCAGGCCCATCGCCAACCCAAACCCAGGCTTTAGGCAGCAGCTTGAGGAGTTTGGCTGGGGAAACTCGCAGAAGGTAGGGACTATGTGCAAGGCTTTGCTGTGCAGGGCTGGGGCTGGGGCTGCGAGAGGCTTGGGAAGCATCTTTGATCTTAGCACCAATTAGAGGTGATCCACCCTGTGCCTGTCCCCTCCCTCCACTCTCACCTTGGTCACAAATACACAATCCTCCTGCCTCAGACTCCCCAACACTGGGATTGCACCATAGGTAACCCACACCTGGTCTGGATTTCCAGGTTTGGTTTTGTTTGTCTTTTAAACTAAGCGTTTAGATGTTTATGAACCAGACTGTGACACACAGGTGTCCCCAATACAAGGAAGTGCAGAGTTTGTCCACTTGGGGTCTGTATCCTATTCCACCAGAGTCTTTCTGAGGCCAAAGGTGTCCCTTCTCTTGGCATTCTGGGGAGACAGCACATGGAAATATCAGCTTGGTATTTCAGACAGCTAGGAAAGGGAGGGAGAGAAAGGAATGGAGTGGCTGGAAGGTTCTCAGAAGGTGGCACTGGATTCCAGGGCTGCCCTAAGCCAGGAACAGACAAGAGACCCCTGAGGTGTGGTGTCTTTGAGTCCAGGGATGGGGACAGAGGCTCAAGGGAAGTTGTTTAGTGCGGTTTGCAGCGGGCAAGACTGGAAGACGGAGTGTCAATGGTAAGTGGGGTTTAGGAAGAATTTAGGGCCTCAAATGTGAGGCAGGGCGCCTCGGTGAGTGTCGGAAAGTCTTAGAATGAAGACAGGGAGCTTAGAAGAGCTAGGTGTGGGGAGAGGGCGAGGGCGAAGGTGGCAAACTGGTGGCTGCTGGACCTGTGCTCCGCTTCCCCTCCCCGCCTCAGCTTCGCCGGCAGTTGGAGGAGCGCTTCGGGGAGAGCCCGTTCCGCGACGAGGAGGAACTGCGCACGCTGCTGCCTCTCTGCAGGCGCTGTCGCCAGGGTTCGGCGACCTCCGCCACGTCGGCCACAGCGTCCTCCGCCGCTTCCGAGGGGACCCTGCAGCGCCTGGTGCCGCGGGAAGCCCACCGGCCGCTGCCGCTGCTGGCGCGCGTCAAACAGACTTTCTCTTGCCTTCCGCGGTGCCTGTCGCGCAAGGGCGACAAGTGAGCGCCCTGCCCTCCGCTCCGCCTGTCCTCACGCCACAGCCCTTCGCCAGCGGCCAGGGCTTCCCGCATCCGGGATGCGCCCAGAGCTTGTGGGAGCCTCGCCCATGCCCAATGTCCACCACGCTTGTCTGCGTCCGTCCTCAGTGTCCCCTTTGTGAGTCCGTGTTCCGCCGGCCTGCTTCAAGCCACCTGGTGCCTTAGTCCTTGAGCCCGGGGAAGAGGTCCTAGGCCTCCACCCAGACAGACGGGGAGCAGGAGGTTGGTCGGGTGGGGCGGACTGGCCTGGAGGAGATTAAAGAGATGCGGACGTTGCCTGGTCCGGTGCCTCTGGTCATTCTGCAGAGCCTGGGTTCTGCAGCCTGCGTGAGGCAGGCCGGGAGCAGCTTCCAGGGGCCCGGGGAAGCACCATTCTCCATTAGTCTGCAGAGCTGAATTCCAAGACCATACCCTTCTCAGACACCCCTCCCCCAGTCCCCATCTCTCCCAGAGCCCTGGACTCCTGACGCCGCCCCCCCCCCCAGCTCTTTGGACCTCTCACCTCTCTGAGGCCCCTCCCTCTTCTCCAAATAACTGGCCGGTGTGCGCCAGTTGGTGGTGTTGCCTTCACATCAGCTTTAACAGTCTGAGATGACTTTATACTCAGGGAGAACACCCAGGATCAGAGACGCCAGGCTGCTGGCCCAAGCACACACAGCTAAAGCAGGTCATTCCAGCTGTGGCAGGAAGGAGGAAGCAACTGCTGGTGTGGAGGTTCCTGGAAAGGAAGACCCAGCACCAACTGGGGTGCAGGGGGTGGCAGGACACCCAATAAAGAGTAAGCAGCCCTATGGATGGACAGACTAAGGGGTGTCACAAGAACTGATTACCCGAGGGAGCCGAAGTTGCTTTTGCTCAGTAGACTCTTGGCTTCACAGCTGATGGGGCACAGCCCCGGGGAACTGAGCGGAAGGAATGATGGGCTACCCACACCAACCCCCAATTCTTCATCCACTCAAATGTTCATTGAGCACACAGTGTACCGGACTGTGCTGGACTCTGGGGCTACAGCAAGGAACACACCTCTGTCCATGGCTGACCTTCTAGTGGAAGAGACCAGATTAAAGAGGGGGTAAGAGAGTGGACCATCTTGCCATCTGACAGGAGAACGGGGAGCGACAAGTGGGAATTCCAAGTGGCAGGAGCGGTTAACTGAAAAGACCCGGAATTAGGGCTTTGTGAAGAGGAAGGGTGACTGTGCTCCCCAGAGGACAGGGAGCCTGCATCCTCCTAATTGGCCAGTGCCACCACAGTCCACCTGTCTTCTAGCCCCTCTGTCCCGGACAGAGTCATCCCCTCTTTGAAACGATAACGTGGTCCCATCGTCCACAGACAAAACCAAGCCCTTTGGTATAGTGTTCCAGACCCTTCCAGAGGCTCCCTGGATGGAGTGTCGCCTCTACACACGGCCTCAGCAGTGCAGTGCTCTCCCCTAGGACACTGTCGCTGTCCTAAACACTCCAGCTCAGCCGATCCTCATCCCACCCTATAAAAGGACAACTAATTCCTACTCTTGTTCACATACACAGCAAGGGCTGATGCAGCTGAACTACTCAGCACCCTTCATACTGCAAAGATTTCTTGATAATAAAAGAGAAATTCTAGAACTGGGTGTGGTGGTGCATGTCTATGATCCAACACTCAGGAGGCAGGGGCATAAGGATTTTTATTCAAAACTAGTCTGGGATAAATAGAGAGATCCTGTTTCAACCTCCCCCTCCTTCTAAAAGACACCAATCCCCAAAATATATCAGTGTGGAAATGTTCCCATACAATCTCAGAGGATCTTGGACCCCACCAGGAACCTGCAAATTGTAGATGTAGTTCTCAGGAGGTGGCAAAGGGGCACAGACACAGAGCTCTGGATCCTGGCCATCCCTGGTGATGCCAGAGCTTCCTAATAGCGATAAGTTATTGAAGACCCACTGGGGAAGGATTCAGCCAGGCCAGCAGGAGGACGAGCAGCCACTTGGTAGGCAATTCCAAAACGTGAGGGGAAAGTACAATCCGTGGAGTGCCTACATGGAAATGAGAATGGGAGGCTGGCTTAGCATCCTGGTCCCTGGGCTTCTCTAAGGTTGCATGGAGGTCACCTGTGTGCCTCCCGTTGTGACAGGAATAGGTTTGAGAAGCATTTTCCTTTTCCAACTTCCACAGTGCAGGTCCTGAGGAAAGACTGACAGGTGGGCCTTGCATGGCACCACTATGTAGAAGGTGCTGAGGCTGGAGGATGCTGGAGTTCAGGAATCAGAGACCAGTGTGTAGCAAGATGTCTCAGAAAAACGAGACAAAAATAGGTCGTTTACAGGTGGTCTAAGAGAACAGAGTGTGGGTGCTGGGCTGGAGCAAGATCGCTCCTCTGCTGAAGACTTTCTCTACCCCTCACCTACACTCACAACCACCACCCCTAACCCCACCCCCACCCCATTGCACTCTGAGAGCTCATTCTTGTCCCTGGTGCTCCAGGACAGCTGGCCACCAGGACAGGTGGAAGGCAAGGGCCTTGGGGTAGAGGAACTGAACAGAATGAGAAACTTTATCAAGCCAACTTTCACTTTCTTAGGGTCTGTATTCCATCCAGGTGACGTGGTAATTCCCCAATGCTTGCATAGCCAGTGCACGGTCCCTAGCGTTTGCCTAGGAAAGAGTCTGTCAATGGGAAATCTATGGCAGGAACCGTGGATCCTTTCTGTCTCCAGGACTGGTTGGTGGTACAGACAGAAAGTTGATGCTAGGAAGGGTTGTGCTGGGAAGATGTGGGCAAGACTCTCTTCCGCATCCCCTGAAAGGCCATAGCTCAACAGCAACCTACCAGACACAGCAGGATGCAGAGGTTTTTCTGGGTAAGGAGCAGGGTCCTGGAAAAGCCTGGCCAGGTGGGCTTGAACTCACAAAGTTTCAGCACCCTGCTGGAGCCTAGGCACCGGCCCATAAATTGTGACCTTGGACCGTCCACACAGTCTCAAGGCTGAGTGTAGCATTCCCCAATATATACAGGGGAACTTTTGACACCCTCTTAAAATAACGTTAGCCTCTCACTGCCTGTGACCTCTCCATCCTTTGGAGGCCTTTCCTCCCACCCCAAACTCTCACCCTAAATGGCCAACCTCAGCATCCTGAGAGCCATCTTTTCAGGACCTCCTGCAGGAAAGCCCCTTGCTCAGGCATCACAGGCTTTCTGAAATTAGCTGCTTTGAAGAGGCAGTTAAAACTCTCTGAAGTCTCTCCCCTGAGCCGCAGTATCCAGCTGCACATTAGGACACCGTCCTCACCACGAGCACCCAAGTCATCTCCAGCTCCCCTCTCCCAAGACACTTAGTGTCCCCCTTTTAACTCCATCTGGCTTCTGTCTCTCCTGATAATAAAGTCACTAGCTGCCGAGTTCAAAGAAGGAAACATGTAGCCTTCACTAAGATGGTCCCGCACCTGGTGAATCCATCTTACTCCAAACAGTTTCACTGGGTCTCCAGGATCTCACCCTAGTTACAAGACCTCCGTGCTCCTGCTGCCCATCTATGTCCAGCATCTCTCTCTAGGTCACTATAGACACACACACACACACACACACACACACACACACACAACACGGCTGGTGGTGGGGGGCGCTTCTCCTGACCCTCAGCAATCCCCTCAAGCCCTCAGAAGGTCCTTTCTAGCAATGAGATGGTCATAACCTGCCCTTCTTCAGGGTCACCTATGGTTCCTCACTGTCCAGGTGCTGTAGGCCCCTCCTCCCCCTGAGGCCACAGGAAGTACCCCTCCCAGGCCTTATCTCTGGGGTCTCTCTCTCTCTCTCTCTCTCTCTTCCCTAACTTTCTTTCTTTCCATTTCTAAATGCTTCCTCTCTCTCATCTGGCCATTACAGCCTCTCACACGGTGCTCTCTTCCTACGTTGCTTCTTCCTTCCACCTTCCCCGGCTGCTCCCCTGCTTAGCCATCTCTTCCTGGAGACAGCTTTCCCCGTGCACCCATTGATTGAACTCTGCTCTCCCCCAAGATCCTAGAAGGAGCCTGTCATCTTCTCCTGCCACACCGGGATCTGCCTGAGGGTGGCGACATTGAGCACAGAGCCTGGCGTTCACTCACCATCCAGTAAGTGTTGAATGGGTGGCTTCATGGCCAGCCCCTTAAACTTTACATACTGCTATTCAGAGAAGAGTGTTTTGGGGCATCCTAGTGGCTGCCTGCCTCTTCACCCACCAGGGCACACACGACCTTCACTTCAACCCTCCTTCTGTCCCAGTGCTTGAGTATAAAGCTTTGCCTTCAGAGATAATCATGATTGGCCTTCAAGTATCTCTTCTTCCTTAATCTCTCTTCGCCTTTCCCCACCACATGGATTCCATATCTGCACATTTTCCCGACAGATATAATGTATTTATAACCCCTAAACCAACACTCTGCAAGCAGAAGGGACTGGAGGAGCTGGGAAGGAGGAGTTAATGAAGGGGGGTGCCGCTCAGGAGAGCGGAGCTGAGTTTTCAGGGTGACGGTAGGCTTGATGAGCAGTTAGCTATTCGTGGCTCAGGGGAGAGGTTTGGGAGAGTTTTTTAAATGCTTCTCAAAACAGCCAGTTTCGGGCATGCAGATAACAGGAAAAGGCTTTTTGGGGGACCCAGGGAATAGCTGGTCATCCTTGCTCGATACAATGACCAGGCTTCTGTGATGCAGAGAGCATTTTACAGGAGCCCCTGAGGGAAGCGAGTGAGCTAGCCTGCAGCACAGACCAGGTCAGTGTGTGTCCTCTCAGCCCCATCAGCCTGGTCAGCTCAGGCACATCTTAGCCAAGCCTGAAAGTAGCCCCACCCTCTCTAGCAATTCGCTCATGCTCTCCATCAGCCTGACTCCATCTGTCCCCACTACCTGCCCTGCCTTGAGTCCCATCATTCTTTCCCTTCGAGTCACACCCACCACTCTGTTGTCACCCCCACTTGCCCCTCCAGATCCAGATCCCTTACTGGTCCCCTCTCCATATCTGCATGCCTCCTTTTTGTTGTCTGCTTATCTGCCATCTTTGTGAATGTCTCTCCATTATCTGTGGTTCATTGCTATGTCCTCATCTCCCGTGCTATGTCCCTAGTGCCTCCTCAGCATCCTGTCTACCTGTGACCCCAACTAAATCATCCTCCAGACCCTTCATTCCATGATGTCCCTCCCAGCATCTGAATCTATCCCCTCCGACCCCTCATCAACTCTTTCCTTACCCTCAGAGTGGAAGGGTCTTAAGTTCTGAAACTTACATATCCCATTAACCCTAGCAGGCCTTCAGATTTCCCAGTGTTCTCTTCTCTCTGCTCAGGTGGAGATAGCCTAGCAACTTCTCTGGGCCTTGGTCTCCCCACTGTCTTCTTCACTGCTGCTCCTTTCCAATAGCTTCAGATTAGTGAAAAAAAGACAAGGAGTGTCCCTGTAGGATGCCAGGAGCCTCCCTATGCCAGGCCCTTTGCCTGACTACAGTAAGGGCTTAGTCTCAAAACCCACTCCTGTCTCCTCTCTGGCGTGGATCTGGGGTCTGAGGGTCCCAGGTGAATTGGTTTCTGTTTACCCTTCTTCCCAGGGTATCAGGCATGGAACCCCAAATACTCTCAAAGCTCAACAACCTCTGAGAAGTTCAGAAACCCTGGTAAGGATGCTAAAAGTGCTCCCATCTGACCAGCTGCCAAATCGGAGAGGACCTGAGGGTAGAAACAACTAACTACCCTGCATCTCTTAGCCAAAGCATCCAGTGCGAACAGGCCAAAGCCACAGAGCTAATGCTTGAGGCCCTGGCTGATGCCAGGCGTCCTCCGAAGCATCCCCACAATTTGTGTGACAGAAACACCATTATCCCTTTTGCCATCAGACACCGCCTATCCTTTCCTGAGCTCACACAGTGTGTTACTAGGAGGTCATGGCTGCCCAGCGGCTGGGGAGAACAGGTTCTGAGGCCTAGTGCAGAAGCCCAGAACCTTCAGGAGAGTTGCCTCTCCTGCCGGAAGAGAGCTATTGAATTGTCGATCTTATTACTATGTCTGCCGCCATTACAACCTCTTCTGGTGGGGCTGCAGAGAGGGCTCAGTCTTAAACAGCTCTCTAGCTCTTCCAGAGGGTAGGAGTTTGGTACCCAACAGTCATGTCCAGAATGGCTCACAACCACCTGTAGCTTTAGTTCTAGGGCATGCGACAGGCTCTCCTGGCCTCCATCGTCATCTGCACAGACTTAGCACACATGCACAAACATAAATAAAAATAAATCTTAAAGAAAAAGCCCACCACTTAAAGAAGCTCCTGGAATCCCAGACCACAGGTCAGGCCTCCCAATGCCCTTAGCACTAAACTACAGCAGTTTGTTTGAATTGGGGTTTATTTAGTTTATTGGGTTTGTTTGTTTGTTTGTTTGAGAGAAGGTCTGGAACAGCCCAGGTTGGCCTATACTCGAAAGGTGGCAGAGGACAGTTTTGAACTTCTGATCCTCTTGCTTTCACCTCCCATGTACTGGGATTACAACTGTGTGCCATCATACCTGGTTCTCGTGTAAGTTCATTTTATTGTTTTTAATGATTTTTAAAAATGTAATTACATCATTTCCCCTTCCCTTTCCTCCCTTCAAACCCAGTCCCATGCACCCCTTCTTGTTCTCTTTCAAATTCATGGCCTCCTTTTTCTTTATTGTTGTTGCTGGTGGTGGTGGTGCTGCTGCTGGTGATGCTGGTGGAGGTGGTGGTGATGCTGGTGGAGGTGGTGCTGGTGCTGGTAGTGGTCCTGGTGGTAGTGGTGGTGCTAGTGATGGTGATGGTAGTAGTGTTTGTGCTGGTGGTGCTGGCTATGCTGGTGGTGCTGGCTATGCTGGTGGTGCTGATGTGTGTGTGTTCCTAAATACATGAGTACAACTTGCTCAGTCTGTAAATGTATACTTGTAAGTATATGCTTTCAGGGCTTACCATTTGTTATTGGATAATTAATTCCTGTGCTCTTCCCTGGGAAGACTATTTCTCCAGCTCTCAGCATTCCTTAGTTGCCTGTGGTTCTTTGTGTAGAGTTGAGACCTCACCTGGTTGTCTGCGGTTCTGGGGATGGGAGAGGGCCTCATGCACACAAGAGGAACACTACCAAATGAGTTCCCAGACGACTAGTGTTTCCACAGTGGGATCTATTGTTACTCCTACTGCCAGACTTATTTATCAAAGTTGCTGATTGAGAAAGGTAAAGTGGCAAAAGTTCCCATGATGGAAACTAAAGGGGACAGCTGCTGCCACCTGCTGGGGGTGCCCACTAACTTCAAGCAAATTCTCTTCTGCCTGCAGCCTCTTCTGTGACATCTGGAGCCCAGAGTGCTCCTGTGGGTGGCACCCAGGATGAGTTGGCCCAGCGTCTGTGCCCGGGCAGCATGTTGGTGTGGTCTAACTGGAGCATGGTGCACCTGCCAGCTGCTGGACATGTCGCTTCCTGCAGGACAAGTGCCCATAGTGTGGCACAGGCCTGGACAGTGGAGAGCACTCGCTCACGATCGGGGGCCCGCCCGTGGTCATAACTGGGAAACAAGACACCACACAGAGGCACCAAGAATGAGAAAGAATGTGGGCATCAGGGCGGGGGCAGATTCCTTTAAGGCCTATAGGGACATAGGTAGGGGCACTTTTGGAGGTGAGACAAGGGCACAGGACTTGGGCAGGTGTTTAAAGTGGGCATTAGGGACAGTGGGCACAAGACAGGCATTGACAAATAGCAATGGGTAAGGGATGGGCAAAAGGCATGGAGTGATCATATAGGGGTAGGAGGCAAGGGACATAGACACTGGAGCATGGGGTAGATGGGGATGGGGCATGGAAGTGGGCACAGGGCATAGGTGCACAGGGGATGTAGGTGTAGGATATGAGCGCTTGGCCTAAATCCTGTGTTTGGATGCCAGTAGCTAAAACACCAGTACCTGTAGAACTCTTGTCTTTGGAAAAATGAACACAGCTTTAAGGCAGAATCAAAGACTACAGGCTGGCTTCTTCCCAGGGCCACTGTTCTTTACAGATCGCTAGAGGCGAACCTACTGAGGAGGGGGGGAGGGCTTTCAGTAAGGACAATGTCCTCTTTGTCCTCCCCCTGCCTTGTGAGTGAGGTGACTTATCGGATTCTGATTATGGATGCCAACATAATAAATCCCTTTTAACAACGTGTCAATGTGCCTCTGATTTTATTCTTATTTCTTGGTGCTGGGACTCAAACTCTGGGCCTTGTGCATGCTAGGTGTTTGCTCTGCCACTGAACTACACCCCCAGCCAATAAGCCGCTTCTGTGTGGAGAAAATGGTGTGATTTGGCAACAGACTGAAGTTTACTGCATTTTTTTCGTCCAGCCATTTCAGGAATGTTTATTGAGTTGCTGCTGTACTCCAGTGCCCAGTGCTGGATATGGGGGACAGGCCAAAAGAGTGTCGTCTTTACTCTCTTGGGGTTCACAGCCGGCTTCCAGCTGAGGTCCTAGGACTGCCCCCACTCCTGACCTTCACAAATGTGATGATGGTAAGGAGTTACATAACAGCTGAGTTAAAAACCAGGTTTATCATTCACTAAATGTGCAACCTCAGGAAGCGACTTTCAGAACCCCCACCTGTGAAGTGCCCTGCAGAGGGCGTGGTGTGAGGTGTGAGCGCGGATGGGTGGATAAGCTTTCCAGGCCCACTGCAAGTGGCCACTGGCTTGGGAAGGGGCAGAGAAAACACTGACCCACTGGACAGGCTGACTTCGGCCACACCCTTGCTGTACCCCAGCTCCAAGCTGAGGTTGGGGAGCCTAAGTTCATAGGACATCCAGCCCGTCCTCTGTCCTCTGAGCTCTCCCAGGGCCAAGGCTTCTATGGGATCCAGGTTAAGAGCTCGGCCCAGAAGGCACTCCTCCCCACACCAGTCACTAGAGGGCGCCAGGACTCAGGGGAACTGTGTTGAGCAAGCTCCTTCCTGTCCTTGGAGCCCTCCAGAGTCCACAGGCCAAACACCAGGACCTGGAACAGTGCGGCTCCAACGGCTCTGGCTCTGCAGTGTGGGAAGGGGGTGGCAGAAGAGAGGAAAAGCCAGAACTAGGGTACTTGAGAAGCCTCTGTGGCTTGTCCCACTCCATAGGGACACTGCTTAGATTCCACCCTTCTCCCCTGCCCCACCTCTGGTCACACCTGTGTCTCTGCAGCCCCTCTGTCTGAGTCCAGGTTTCTTCATTCGTTTCAGCTACTGCGGATGACAGTTTCTCTGTATGCTATGGTCCCTCTCCGAAAGGTCTAGGTTCTCTCTCTCTCTCTCTCTCTCTCTCTCTCTCTCTCGTCGTCTGTCTGTCTACCCGTCTCACTCAGTTTCAGAGCCTGGCTCTGCCCTCCCACCTCTTCACCCTGCAGAAGCTCACAGCTTCCGACTGCTGGCCTCTCTTGCCCGCCTCCTTAGACTTGACAAGGGCGGTGAGAGAGGAGGGAAGGGCAGCGTGGTGGGCCCACCTCCTTTTGCCTTTCTAGGCTGGGAGGCTGGGCCAGTGGGTCTTTTAACGGCTTGGGCAGCCTGTGCAGATCGCCAGCCCTGAACACTTTGCCTGGCTCTGCAGTCAGCATGCAGCAGCAACCATCATCAGGGCCCTTGGCTCCTTCTGCAGAGCCCACCAAGCCCCCTTACAGCTACATAGCCCTGATTGCCATGGCTATCCAGAGTTCGCCGGGTCAGCGGGCCACCCTCAGTGGCATCTATGGCTACATCATGGGCCGCTTCGCCTTTTACCGGCACAACCGGCCAGGCTGGCAGAACAGCATCCGCCATAACCTGTCCCTCAATGAGTGCTTCGTCAAGGTACCTCGTGACGACCGCAAGCCGGGCAAGGGCAGCTACTGGACCCTGGACCCCGACTGCCATGACATGTTCCAGCATGGCAGCTTCCTCCGCCGCCGCAGACGCTTCACCAAGCGCACAGGTGCCCAGGGCACCAAGGGGTCTATCAAGGCAGACCCCAGGCCTCTCAGATCCACCAGCCGGGACCCAGGCACCCCCAACACCACTACTGGCAAGTTGTGCCCATTCCCACCAGAGGTGCCAAACCCCAAGGGCCTAAGCTTTGGGGGTCTGATGGGGTCTTTGCCAGCCAGCGTATGTCCAGCAACCAGTGATGCCAGGCCCCAGTTGCCCATTGGACCCAAAGAGATGTGCTCACCCAAGTCTGCAGGCCCAAGAGAGCTCACCTCGCCCTCCCCGTGCCCAGCATTCGGCTTTTCTGCTGCCTTCTCTGAAGCGGAGAGTCTCAGCAAGGCCTCCACACCTGGTGTGGCTCCTGAGGGCATGGGGAGCAGCTACCAGTGCCGAATGCAGGCGCTGAATTTCTGTGTGGGGACTGACCCTAGCCTTGAACACCTCTTGGCCTCGGCAGTTCCCACCCCGACACCTTCGACTCCTTCAGCCTCTCACCGGGCCCCACTGTCCCTGCCAGCTGACTCCAAGGAACCCTGGGTGGCTGGGAACTTCCCTGTCCAGGGAGGTTCCGGGTACCCCCTGGGGCTACCTCCTTGCCTTTACCGGACACCAGGAATGTTCTTCTTCGAGTAAGTGACTGCAGTGGGTCCCTCTGCAGGGCCTCCGTCAACTGTTCTCTGCAGATTTAGTCTGGCTATAGGACCTAGGACACTCTTCAAGGGCCCAGCCCTGGCAGGCCAAGGACTGTGAGGAACGGAAGGCAGAAGTGAGCAGTCGTCAGCCAGGTGCCCCCGGCCTCCTGACAAACTTGGGATGGGGCCCTCGAGACTTTCTCTGTGGTTCTCAGGGCTAATAAAGCCAGTGTGATGGTGAAGGTCTGTCTGCTGAATGGCTGGGGCTAAGGGTGTGGGGGCACTGTGGTATGGGGGGTGCTCTAGGGGAGGGGGACCTGCCTGGAAAGGTTCTGCTTGAGACTTTCTCCTGCTGGGGACTTTCTTGGGGAGTTTCCCAGGAAGGGAAAGTAGGGCATGAGGGCAGGCAGAGGGGAGAAGCAGCCAAGATCCACAGAGTATGGGAAAGCCGGACTGGCGGAAGAGGCTGCCTTCAGTCCTTGAACTGTAGCTAGATGCTGTCTTTATGAAGCTTCACCATGCCCACTGCCATCCCCTCCTAGGCTTGTTTCTGTCATCTTGCCTGGGTTCTATGGAATATCAGCCCAGTTTACAATAGTAGAATCCAAGGCTCAGAGCTCACCCCAGCTCCAGGAGAAGGTCAAAAAACTAGCGGAGTGCAAGGGTACCCAGGTCTGTGTGGCTGACACAAACTGAGGGAAGTACAAGGTGGAGAGCTGGCTGGGGACAGTGTAGGATGCCCCAGAGGAGAAATTGAGCCTTTCTGAACCTGGGGCTGATAAGACACCCTTCACTCTGTGGACAGGGAATCAGGGTTTAAAGGCAGCGCCTGGTCTTTATTTGAACTCTCCACAGTGATGGAACCTCTCCTGGGTCCCTGGGTCTCTGAGGTCTCCTGCTTACTTTTTGCCGAAATCATATTGCATTAATTTGTGTGTGTGTGTGTGTGTATGTGTGCGTGTGTGCACATGTGCGTATTTGTGCGTACACAGGGCTCAGAGGCAACTTGTGGGAGTTGATTCTCTGCTCCCCCTGTGTGCGGCCTAGGAATCAAACTCAGGGGTCATTACCCACCTAAGTCATCTCATGAACACATTTCTTTGGGGGGGGCATGGGTGGGGACCCACGACTGTCCTAGACACTGAACACAGGCAACTGAGCTCCAAGCTTCAGCGTGAACAGAGCAGGAAGGAGGGCTGTCCGCATATACCCTCTAGAAGAACCTGAGACCTCACTGTCGCTCCAGCACTTCGGAGAACAGAAGCAAAAGGCTTCCTGAGACTTGGTCTCCTCTACTGCACCATGGGTATGGGCTGAGGCAGAGGGAAGAAGTGCTGGTGTGGCCCCATTTCGTCTCCTACAGAGAGCCCACAAGGCCTTGTGTCCCATGAGGTGGCACCCAGTGGCTGCCCTTTCTTAGTCAGGTGACCTAGTCTCCTCCACAACTCCTTCCCTGGGCAGCTTATCCAGTGACTTCAGGCTCTGTGACTCCCCCTTCCCTTCACAGGTCCCCTGGGGCTGTAGAGGAAGCTGGCCTGCTGGCTGGCCTGACTGAACTGTCTGGTTCCCACAGACTCCAGAACTGAGGTGGAGGGGGAACTGAGGGGCGCAAGCTTGGTATGACTGGAAGGAGGTGGAGAATGCCTGATCAGCTGGGCGAAGGAGACTGCCCCCTTCTCCCCTCCCTTTTCCCCCTCCCAACCATGCCTGCTGCACCCCAACCGGCAAAACAGTGGGCTGTTGCGGTGGGGAGGTAGCAGGCAAGGTCCTCTATAGTGAGGGGTGCAGACACACAGAGCAGGGGACACTCATTCATGTGATGTGGGGTCAGCATTGTGGAGTGTGGGAGTGGGTATGCTGGGGAGACACGGTCCCTAGTGGTGATTCTTTCTCAGCTGGGTCAGGGAAGGAGGCCGCGGTTGGGCACTGTTCCTTGCTTTGCATTCCTCTGGAGCCTTGGTGACCCCAAGTCCCTTCTCAGCCTGGCAGGAAGAGGAGAAACCAGCAGGGCTGGGGAAAGCACCCAGCCTCCCCAGGATGTTCAGCCTCTGCGCCCAGGGCCCATGTCCCTGCAAGGAAGGCTGTCACCTCTATGCCTTCCAGGGCTTGGGCTGGGGTGACAATGAGACTTGGGTTCCTCTCTGGTTCTCTGGTTGGTGCTGCCCATACCGCCATTCCACTGGTCTCCACCCAAGGGAGTAGCTAGCTCATAAGCAGGCTGAGACTTTGCAGGCCCAGTCCTTAGGAAACACGGGGCGGGGGGGGGGGGGGTTGTTAAGATAGAGGGAGAGAGACAGCCAAACTTAGCTATGACCACACCTCTGTCCTTAACCCCCAAGACTACTTGTCTGTCAAGAAATGGTGATGTTCCCAAACAGCTAAGTAGGACCTTGGTCTAAGCCTACCTGGAATACAATCTTAGACCAAGACCAGTCCTTGGGGCCCTGGTTTCACTCTTTTTGTCCAGAGGGCATAAAATAGGTCATTTGATTCGACATGTGAGTCTCGGGAGTATCTGGCCTGGGGGACAGCCTGGGAGATGTCCCATCCCTTGGTCAGGAGTCCTAGACATCATGATCTAACACTATGCTCAGTATCCAGCGGGGACCTTACCACTGGGCGTCCTGCCCTCACATTCTTTCTGTGGCTTACAGATGCTTCTGCCACTTGCCTGACTGCCCCTTGCCTGACTGCCCCTATTGGGAGGTAGGGTGTAGAGCCAGTAAGTGCCCTCATCTAGGTCATTCTAGATTAAAACATCTTGATACAGATGGTCAAAGTCACGCGGCAAGGCACAGCAGAGGTATCTCCTCAACCCACCCCATGCAACTCGTAGGGGCAGAGATGTGGTATCTGACGCCTCAGGGACTCCTTCAGTGGAGGCTCATCTGTCTCCAGGCCCAATTCCAGGGACCACTTACTTTTCTTCAGAAAATTAGAGCAGACGGGTTTCTGAGACCAAATCAAATCCTAAAATGGTAGAATCAGTATTTAAGACTATTCCAGAGTTCTTAATCACGTCAGCTCAGATCTGTGGAATGCAGTTGACAGGGACGGCTGACCCTCTTGCGTTATGTGCATTCCAGGAAGCAGAAAGGGCCTGTTCCAACAAAATATAGCCACCCTATTGGACTGGCATTACCTGCTGGCATTTGGTCTGGCTGCCCAAGGTCAGAGCGCCCATCTGCCTTCAGAAGGGCACGGATGGGGTCCCCACCACACCCCCAAGGGCCCACCTCCCTCATGGACTCCTCCACTGAGCTTATCACAGGCCTGCCTCCCGCCCACTGCTTCCTTCCCTGCTGAAGGCATTCCCCTGCCTGAGTTACAAGTTACTCATGCCTTCCCACACCCCCAGACAGCATTTGGCTGGTGAGAGACCCTCTCCCCCAGAGGGCGGCTTCCTGCAGCTGCCACAAAGATGAGAAAGCAGGGGGAGGTTGTGTTGGCCTGGCACATCTGCCTGTGGGGAGTGCAGGAACCAAGGAATCCAGGCCCAATATATCCTCCCTGACCAAGCTCCCATCACCCCCTAACCCAGGCCGCTAGAGGCAAGACTGCCTTCATTGCTGCCGCAGCTGTGTGGCCTGGGAAAAGAACTTCCTTTCCCTGTTCTTCCGAAGGATACAAATGCTGTCGTCCACCCCCAGGAGGCTGGTGGAAGGACTCTGTAAGTTAGCTTTTGCAAAGAGCTTAAAACTAGGCCTGGTGCTCAGAATTGCAATATAAATGATAGTTAAGTGAAATAAATCTGTATTCGGGGGCTGATATGTCCCCTTTATCCCCTGCCAAGATGGTGTCTCACTGCTCTAGAAGACGGGGACAGAATGTAGAGGCAGGACTAAACAATACTGTCCTTTCGATTTCTTGCAGTGTGGATTCACTTGTCTGAGCCTCAGTTTCCTCGTCTGTAAAATGGGGTGCTGTTTTCGATGCCCAGGGCTGGCATGTGGGACCCCATCTGCATCCTCGTGTGTAATTTGGTCAGCAGGGATGAAATTAGAATTAAGAAGTATCCACACCTGAGGTCTCCCCAGTCTCCGCCCAGGTCTCTCAGCCTCCACAGCAAAGCCATTCACTGGAGGCTCCTCTGCGCTCCTGCTCCTCTGTCCTCACCATGCTGGTAACTGACGGGGTGACTCAGAGGAACAGTTGGTAGGCAGAAGGAAGTGGCCCCACAGCTAAAAACAGACCAGAGGCTCCATTAGTCACTCATCAGCCAGGAAGGCCAGGGATGCCCCCAGGTCACTGTCCTCTGGGCCCGTCCCAAGGTAGCCCAATGTCACTTAGGTACACGGAGCACAGCAGCTGGTCCTCCCTCCTTGCTGGCAGCCAACTCCTACGAGCTTCTCCACTCCAGAGCTCTGCGCCCGCTGCCTGCTCTCCAAAGCCTGTCCCCTCCTTGCAGGGTGGCGTGCTACATACAGTTTCTGTCATTGGTCAACACCACCCCAAAGGACGCCCCCAAAGCCTGAGTCCAGCTAACTGTACCTCACCTTCCCTCTCCTACAGTGTCATGCTGCCTTCACACAGCCCCACTGTGAGGCAGTCACAGCGGTAGGGTCTGCACTTATCCTTCTTCACCTTAGAGCACAGGTTTGGGGGCAAGGGCTGTGTCTGCCCTGTTCACTTTTCCTCCTCTCTACCTCACAGTAGGTGACTAAGAGACAGTAGGGATATGGCGAATGCTTACCAAGTGTGTGGCGCCTTGGCTACCATCGTCCTCAGTGGGCTGTCCCAAAGGAGCCCAGGGACTCCCTACCTCACTCAGCACCACCTAGGGCTTCTGGATAAGGACGTGCATTTGATATCTCTCCCTTCACTGACTGAACCCAGCTTTCATGGCACCCTTTCTTCTGCCTGCACAGCCCTCCACTACCCTCCATAGGGCTCTCTCCTCGCTCCCAGCCCCCACCAAGCATCCTCAGAAAAATACTCCCTGACCACTGTCCCGTTCTCCCCCAGTCAGCGCATGCTAAGGTCAGTGTGCTTTGTCCCCTACTAGCTCCCTGAGACCAGGGACTTTGTCTGGTCACTGCTGTCCCTTGCTGCAACCACTGAAATAGCCTGAGACTGGCTCAGTAACCTGCGCCAGGCTCTGCCTGGGCATCTCACTTGACTTTGGCACTGACCTTGGGAAGTGGGTATTATCATCACCCCCGTTTTACGGACAGGAGCCTGAGGCTCAAAGAGGGCAAGTAGGTA